GATAGCCCTTCCTCTCACCCCTCTCTAGGACCAAGAACAAGTGCAATCCCTGCCCTTAGGGGAGGCTAGAGAATGCTGTCTCTGGGCAACCCCCAGGAAACAAATGTTGTTCCCCCCAGCAGCGCAAATGGGGAGTAACTTCCCTAAAGTTATGTTGCTCCAGTTTTACACCAGTGTAATTGAAAGCTGAACTGGGCCGGTGGACTGACTGTTTACACTTATCACATCATTAACTTCAAACTTGTGAGCAGTTCCATTGAAGTTAAGCACATTGCTTAAGTGCTTTGCTGGACCAGGGCCTAAGTCAGTAATGGGTGGAGGGCTGCATGCTCTTTAGACATCAGTGCACAGAGCCTTGGTAAAACACTCCGGTCCTCAAGGTGAAGATGCTCCACTCACTTCCGGTTCCATGCTTACAATGGATTTTAGTGGATAAGAGCACATTTGGACCATGGGGCTTGCTACTGCATGATACGGAGAGGGAGCACCTCATCCAATGGGAGTGCTGAGCACTGCCTGAACGGGAGCAGCTCATCCAATAGGAACGCTGAACACTGCCTAGAGGGAAGCACCTCATCCAATGGGCATAGGTGCTAGAACTATGGGTGCACCCCCTGGTTTGAAATGGTTTCCATCATACACAGGGTTTACAGTTTGGTTCAGTGGTCTCAGCACCCCCCACTACACAGATTGTTCCAGCACCCCTACCAATGGGAGTGCTGAGCACCGCCTGAGCGGGAGCACCTCATCCAATGAGAGTGCTGAGCACCGCCTGAGCGGGAGCACCTCATCCAATGAGAGTGCTGAGCACCGCCTGAGCGGGAGCGCCTCATCCAATGAGAGTGCTGAGCACCGCCTGAGCGGGAGCGCCTCATCCAATGAGAGTGCTGAGCACCGCCTGAGCGGGAGCGCCTCATCCAATGAGAGTGCTGAGCACCGCCTGAGCGGGAGCGCCTCATCCAATGAGCCCTCGAGCGCCCATCCAATGGGAGTGCTGAGCACCGCCTGAGCGGGAGCGCCTCATCCAATGGGAGTGCTGAGCACCGCCTGAGCGGGAGCGCCTCATCCAATGGGAGTGCTGAGCACCGCCTGAGCGGGAGCGCCTCATCCAATGGGAGTGCTGAGCACCGCCTGAGCGGGAGCGCCTCATCCAATGGGAGTGCTGAGCACCGCCTGAGCGGGAGCGCCTCATCCAATGGGAGTGCTGAGCACCGCCTGAGCGGGAGCGCCTCATCCAATGGGAGTGCTGAGCACCGCCTGAGCGGGAGCGCCTCATCCAATGGGAGTGCTGAGCACTGCCTGAGCGGGAGCACCTCATCCAATGGGAGTGCTGAGCACTGCTGCAGAGGAACTGATCACTGCTGCAGAGGGAGCTTATACCACCCTCATTACCATAGTATTTGAGTGTCTTCCAGTAGTGGATAAAGCAACGTGACTAACATCTGTGTGAAGTAACTTACTGTATAGCAAAAGCCAAAGCAGAAAGCTTGGCTAATGGACAGAACACAAGTCAGAGGTGTCCCCATTTATGTTACAACCTGGCCCTTTTTATTTTAAAATGAGCCTTACGCTTCAATTCTGCACAGGCCCAAACGGGCTAAATACTTCAGCCTGAGCTTAACTTTAACATGATGAGTAGTACCACTGAGGTCAGGATAGGCTGGCTTCTCTAAAGTTTTGTGTGAATCACAAGAAGTGAGTAACTAGTGGCAGGTAATTTGGATTTTTAAAATTCTAATAGCAACAGAGGTAAAATGTGTTTGTTTATAACTTATGGGTCCAGATCCTCAGCTGCTGTGAATGAGTGTAGTTTAATCGAGTGTTATGGGGCTATGCTGATTTACACTGGCTGAGGATCTGGCTAATGACGTATAAGTTAACAGCATTCTAGGCTATGTCTACATTTACAGAGGAGTGTAGCATACAGATACTGCACACCCAGCTAGCACAGACATAAATAGCAGTGTCGATGGTGAGGCACTGCTTAGACAAGTAGAATACAGACACACCCGAGGCTTAGGGTATATATATCCTACATGGCTCTCTCTATACGTGCAAGCAGTCCCACCTACGTCTACGCTATTTTTAGCAGTGTAGTGTCCTGCTGCCCTCTGCCCTGCCAGATCCTTTCACTGCCATGTGTAGCTACACACCACAGTGTGGATGCAGCTGGCTTTTCACTGTGATACACAGCTACACTTACCCCACACGCTGTCACAAGTGTAAACAATAAAGCCCTACATGTCGGGCTAAACTCTGCTCTCAGTAACACTGGGGGTAAATTCTGGGAACACCATTCAATCCACTGTGTTGCTCCAGATTTACACTGGTGTAACTGGGAATAGAGTATGTCCTTCTGCATGTTTGCCAACTTCAAGAGTTCACAAGTTATGAATCAGGCTCTAAAATCATCATTGGCTTAATTATGATTTTTTTTTTAAAAAAATAATAATAATAATAAGGCGTTATTTTTCTTTGCCTCCAGATTTCTGCATCTTTAGGTCACGCTCAGTTCACATTTTCAGGCTTTTCTCCATAACCATAACGGTTAGAAATTTCCATTTAAAAAGAAAATGAAAACGGAGACTCATAAAATCACCTGCCTCCAGGAGCTGAGGCTTTAAGATAAACACCAAATATTGTGAGGGTTGGGATAAAATGATGTGAGTGTGCAACCCTGCGGTCTGGTGGGATTTTTTGTTTTGCTTTGTTTAATCCTGCACTCTGAATCCAGGGAGAGAGAAATTGACATATAACTGTTGCATCTAATGTGACAACCCACTTGCACAACTGACTGCTTTGTTTTCTTTCATAATTTGCTTAGATTGAGTAAACACACGGATGTGTTGCAGATTTTTTTTTAAACTTTTGGGCCAGTCTGGTGTAAAGTCTATTTACAGTGACATCAAACTTTCCCATGGACTTTAACTTAGGGAACTCGCAGTTTCCCATGAACAGGTATAAATACCACAAACATTTTTTAATCGAAATAATCATGTGACTGCGAAAAAAATCTTTTTTTGGTCCCTGGCAACCAAAAATTGTGTACTTTCTGTTGGATGACAAAACCAAAACATTCTTGGCTGATTTGCCTGGAATTAAATTAGCAAACATCTAAAAGCAGTGTAGTTTTCCAAAAACAACATTTCAAAAGTTATAAATTGTAACTGAGTCATAAAGTGCTACGATATTTACTTTTCCCCTAATACTCTTTCCATATGTCATCTAATTGTAATGACTGTCATTTTATCTGCCTTAAGTCGAAAGAACTTGTGTAGAACATTAAGCAGTTTTATGCAATGTCCTGTACATGTTGTATAAAGAAGATTCATGTGTAAACATAAGGGACTCTTCAAGTTAATGTTGAGAAGAGTTATGGGCTTTACTCCACAGCTTGTCCCAGTGGAAAACTTTTACGGGTCATAAATTATACCACCGCTGTACACAAAGGCCATTAAATCATTCCTAAGGTAAAAATATTAGGTTAGGATTTAAACTTACAATAAGTTAGGCTCAGCAACTGGATTGTCTGTGTGGAGAAAAAGTTGTCTTTTATTTTGCCCAACCTGTACAGGAGGGGGAATAGATTTACTGGGATACTGCTGTAATAACTTGGACCTCACTCCTGCAGTCAGTCCTGATGTGTGTGACTAACTTTACTCACAGGAGTAGACCTGTTTAAGTGGATGGGGCTATTCAATTCAGTGAAGTTTTACATCTGCATCAGTGCTTGCAGACTTGGGCCCTCACTCTGTTTCTGCATTGATTTTCATAATGTGCATGCAAATCCTGGGTCTGATCTTGTGAGGTGCTGAGCACCCTAAACACCCAGCACCTCTTTTAGGCCCTGATCCTGCAAAGGCTTAACTTTACACATGTGAATAGTCAGACTGGCTTCAACAGAACTACTCACATGTGTAGAGATATGCACATGCTGTAGCTTTTGCAGGATGGAGATATTGTGTCAAAGACAGTGCAGAATCATTTGAAGACATGACAAAGTTGGCTATAAAGCAGAATAAATTAACTTTGTGCAGAAGAACTGTGACGCATGACTGGTATGTGCATCTGTGAAAAAGATCACACTCAGTTCACTGAAAGGTACAGACTGCACGTCTCTTGTCCTGGGGTGAGATCTTGGCACTCTTCAAGTCCATTGGAGTTGTGCCATTGATTTCAGTGGAGCCAGGATTTCACCCGTGGTGTGCATACCACTGATCTAAAGTAGACAGCACTGATTTTGATCCTGCTTCTTTCTGCTCCCAAAGAAATCAACGGGAGTTTTGCCATTGACTTCACTTGGAGCATTATCAGGCTTCATTTTCCACACTGTGTTAAATTAACAGCAGATGTGCTCACCTACAGTTCCCTACAAGTGGATGGCAGTGGTATTTGCTAATATTAAAAGCATGTCAGCTTTTAATATTAGCTGCCCGTCTTTTCTGTATAGCAGAGGGCTTTGTTTTAAGTTGCAACACAACTCTGTAAGGTTGGGGGGCGGGGGGAGGGGGAAGGAGCACCAGAACTTCCAAGGTATTAAAGTAACAGAGGGTGGAAAAGGCAGAAATTAGTCTTTTGTGTGATGCCCCCTGTGATTACAGAAAGTCCCCCACCTGAGCATAGTGTATCCTCTATGTGCCATAGGACGGGAAACCCCCCGTGCGTAATTTGTCATGAAAGGGGTGCCAGGGCTCAAACAATTTTTTTACATTTATAACTGAGGCAGCAAGCCCAGAGTAGTCGGGGCTCTGAACTGCCAAACCCAGAGGCGCTGGGGCTCAGCCCTGGCAAAAATTAAGCATCAGAAACCCCTCCTTTCCACACTGTGCTCCTGAATAATTTGGCTTTTTGGGGTAGGGGCTGTCTCCCACTCTTTTGCCTGGAGACTATCACAATGGGACCTGATCTCAGCTGGGGCCTCTGGATGCTATGACAGTGACTACCATTAATAATTAGAAAGCCAGAACATCGTTCAAGTGTTGCGTGTCATGTTTTGGCAGAGCGTGGACCTGGATGACCACAACGAACCTGAGACTAGAAGAGTTTCTAATTCAGCCATAGTTGAAAACGGACACCAGTCTTTGTCAGGTAAGAGGAGAGAAGTGCTCGAAATTAGTCTTTTCAAGATCAACTGTGAATGCAAAATATTGCTGCTGGTCAAGAGCTCAAGTCTGTCAGGGTCTGAGTAACTCTCTAATGTAGCCAGTGTCTTCCTCTGGAAGTTGCTCAGCATGGATACTGTACTAAGGCCCTGACCCTGAAACACTTATGTATATGCTTGGTTTTATTACCATAATTAGCCCCGTTAACTTGTTCGGCCCTGGTACTGCAATCCCTTAGGCACATGCTTAAGACCCATCATCAGCATGACTTCCAATTACTATAACAGGACTTTGTATTCTGAATGCCTTCCTGTCCATACATTTCAAAGGACTTTGAAAACTATTAATTAACTCTTACCACCTGTCTGTGGGAAAGGTCTTATTATCTCTCTTTCTCAGAAGAGGAAACTGAGGCACGGATGGTTTAAGTGAACCAAGAAAGAATAAAGGAGTCCTGCTTCCTAATCCCCAGCAGTAGGCACTAGACTTAGTGGCCCTAAAAGAAAACACAAGTGGATTAGTCGTCTGAAGAAGCTTCTCTAATTAAGAATCTTAAAGAGTAGAATATGATCAGTTACTTCTAATTTATATCTGAGTCTGTGAAATAAATGACATAATCTGCTGGGGGAAAATTTGATTGTTATTCCAGTCTTTCCTAAAATAAAATTAAATAAAGCCATGGTGCATAGATATTGTTGTGTATTATTAAAGATATCTGTCAATAAAAGTATTTCTCTCTACTTGTTTCCTTTAATACCCTAGGTCAGGCAAAAGTCTCACAGGAAGTGACCTCTTCCCTTCAGATGTCAAACTCGTCCCCTGAGGCACATGCCCCTGCAGTAACCTTACGGATGCCCCACCTTCCAGTTACTGCAATAACAAGAGTATCAGAGAAGTTTTCAGGAGAAACCTCCACCTTATCAGGAACTAGTAATGCTACCAGTGGCCTGATAGGGCAGAGCAGGAGCCAGAATGAGGCTGTGATAAAAACTTCCAGCCAATCAGGTAAAAGAAAGTTCTAGATATGAAAATAATTTGCTCACTGAAGCCAGCTCTGATTTAAAAAAAAAAACAACAACAAAAAAGCTCATATAATTTGATTCTTGTTCACACTATTCAGTGTTCTTTTCTGAACTGCACTTCATGCAAAGGTTAGTGGCTGTGATGTTTATAGTCCAGTTTATCTGAGTCTAAGTCACACATTGCAGATTTTACATAGACGTTGCTCCCATTGGGGTTAGATAGGACCTGATCCAAAGCCCACTGAAGTCAATGAAAGTCTTTCCATTGACTGCAGTAGTTTTGGGATCAAGCCCATAGTGGTTTGCTCACAACTTCCCCGTGAGGAAAGTCTTGTTGTTCCTGTTTTACAGATGAGGAAACTCAGGTGCAGAAAGTTCAAGTGACCTGCCTGAGATTTCAAAGAGGAGTGAGAAATGCAGCCCGGAATAAAACAAAGGAATCCTGACTAGAGTGGGCTGGAAAATAGGAGAGGGGTAGGGGCTATGGACCTGATTCTCCTAATGCACCAGTCTGACACTGATGGAACGTCACTGAACTCCTTATTTGTGAAAGGAAAGTCCAGCCTCATTGCCAACGAGAGAAATTGTGTCCAATTAAATAAAAAATCCCTCCTCTCTACCTGCCCTTTTATTAAAACAAAGAAACAAGCAAACCCCTCCTCTGTCTTCTTTGCTTTTCAGTGACTGCTGTGAAGACCTGGAATTCAAGTTCTGTGAGAACAATGGGCACCTCCATAGCTGCAGGTGGGTGTTATTTTCTCTGCCCTTCAGCATGGAAGGTATATCCAAAACTCACATTATTATGCTAAATAGTACAGGGTAGCCAATGCTGCAGTGCTTGGGGGTTCAGATCTGGTCCCATCTCTGCTGAGTAGGATTTGTCTATCCACTAATCTTTAATTGGATGGTTACATTACATCAGTATGTAGTAACACTAAGAGCGTTACAAGGCTGCATGCAGAGGTCCAATTTAGCCCTATTGAAGTCAAGGAGAGTCTTTCCATTGACTTCAGTGAGAGTTAATAAATGAATTCTTAGCAGAGGGCAATGGTCCATTCAGACTCAGGGCATGTCTACACAGCAAAAGCTGTTCTCTTGAATCCAGCTAGCGCAGGTAACAGCAGTGAAGATAGTGCCGCGTGGGCTTCAGAGCTGGCTAGCATGCCAAGTACATACCCAGGGTCTGTGCCAGTCTTGAACTACTTGCGCTGAATCCCATGCTATACTGTCTTCACTGCTATTGTTCACCTGTGCTAGCTGGATTCAAAAGAGCTCTGGTAGGCTAGCCTGTACACACCTTTTGCTGTGTAGACATGCCCTTGGAGTAGTTTGCCACTGGGGTTTGGATGATCCAGCCAGAGCAAAGAAAAGCCTTCAGTTTATTTTGGATTTTCCACAATACTCTTTGTCCTTACCACAAACACTTCATAAATCACACTCCCAGAAGGGAATTTATTCTCTTAGCCTTCGAATGGTTTGTCTAGCACTGAGGCCATGGTGCTACCAGATCAGACTGATTTTGCGTTCTTTGCTGTATATTGGGGCAAATTTGATTTTCTGGAGGAGAGAATGACCAGATACCTCCGCTGTGGGGAACATGGAGGGAGTAAGGGCTGTGTGAAGCTGCAGCCTGTAGAGCTGGTGGGAAAAGACTTTAACATGGGTGGTATACAAATGAAGGCAGATCAAACCCTGGTACATATCAGGAAGGCTGCTAAACAGAGCTGCTTTGGTACAGCAGCCACACAGAATGGGAGACTGAAATTGCTGGTACCACCATGGCAAAGCAAATTCACTGGAGATGAGTAGCAGGGTTTGAAAACGTTTCTTTTCAACATCTCACCCCTTCTTCAAGTCACGAATGTGTAAAAGGACAAAATGCCTCAGCCTCTCAATTGACGTCGAAACAAATGACTTGAACTCTGTCCTAGAATGCTGTTAGTCCACATCACCAAGCTGTTACTCTCTGTAGACAGCAATGCCATTTGGAACCGATTTGCATAGTCAGTTCTGCAGGGATGCAGAACGACACAGCCTAGAAAACACATTACTTCTTAGCACAAGGGTCTCCCACAGGCTTGCATGTTGAGGATCCAGATCAGCTGTGGGCAGAGGAGCACAGGAAAACTTGTCCCTTTACCGTCCAAGGATTAAGCCTGAGATGAAGAATCTTTACATTCAGTTTTCAAAGGGCGATTAAGTTTACACTTGAAAACCTAGGGCCCAATTGCCTTTTCATTTTCAGTACCAGGGAGTAAATCAATGAGGTCGATGCAGCTACACGCATATGAAACTGATGGAGAAGAGAACCGGCCCCTTAGTGTTAATGCTGGGCGAGCATGTGCTTCATTCCCATGCACAAGTACTGAACAGGGCGGAGACCCTGGGCTGTGTCTCCAGGAGGCATGATACAGAAGATGCAGCCCAGGGAGAGGTAGGGGCAAAGCTTTGCTGTCAGCCACCTTTGCACCATGCTGAACCTGGGCTGCTCGGGGGGGCTGAAAGGCCCTTGGTGGAACTAAAGCAGCCTGTGGGGCAGCTGCTTTAAATTATATCAGCCTCCCCACAGCTGCTTATGACTTGCCAGAGTGACCACAGCAGCCTATGATATAGTACCTTTTCCTGATGCTCTGCCCTGACATGCCCTGGCTCCATCTCCAGCATGCCCTCTACTCTGGGACTGGCAGGAGGGCCAGTGTAGGTCTGCCTGCGGTGTCCCAGCCCAGTGTCTGCACCAGGGGAATTGTCCCATAGCCCCTGGGGAGCTGTTTATTGCCCTGTATGCGACTATAGTGGTGCCTGGGACAGCGGGGAGAATCTCTCCACAGGAAATCATTAGCTCATACTGGCAGAGGTCTTTTATAGAGAAATCTGCAACTTTTCATTGCTGTGAGTAAGAATAAATGTGTGGCCACATGTCAGGAAATAGATTGAAAACATGTGGGGGAAGGAGAGAAAATACTTTCAACACTGATGCATCTTGTTTTTCTTGCTGTTTATACAGAGAAAAGCACTTCCGTCACAAAGTCTACGTCAGCCATGAGCTATGGATTGACTAGTGGAACCAAAGCTAGTGAAAGGTAGGATCTTTCCTTGATTGTTTCAGTGAGACTTTTTCTGAGTGTGTTCAACATAGCCTAAATGCAGAGGTCTTCTGTTGACTCACCCTCGCAGCCAGACCAAGTGGGTCCTACTGGCTTCGGTCTAAAAAAGAGTTTGAGTGTCTCTGAGGCAGAAAGAAAAGGAGGACTTGTGGCACCTTAGAGACTAACAAATTTATATGAGCATAAGCTTTCGTGAGCTACAGCTCACTTCATCAGATGCATGCACTCCTTTTCTTTTTGCGGATACAGACACGGCTGCTACTCTGAAATCTGAGGCAGAAGGAACTAGAGACCGGAACAGAGAGAGATCCTGCAGGTTTTCTCAGGAACTGTCAAGCTCACAATGATGCTTAGACTGGGATTAGTTTGTAACGTAAATTAACAGCAAAGGCAAACCCCAGAAATGGGTTACTGTGTTAGGAGCAGGTTGGGAATAGCATGTGGTTACCTGCCCTGCATTACAGGATAAGGGACGGATGGGCTTGTGGGTCAGGCACTGGATGGGGACTTGGGAGATCTTGGTTCAGTTCCTGGTGCTACAATAGACTCCCTGTGTGACCTGGGACCCTTAATCTCTCTGTACTTCAGCACCCCCCCTGTAAAATGTGGGTAACAATATTTCCCTACATCACAGCCATGTTGGAAAGATAAGTCCATTACTTTGTGTGAGGGGCTCAGCGAGGGGGCCATATAATTACCAAGATAATGTGATAACCTTTGATCTAGCCGGTTCCCCCAGCCAGTGCAGGATTGTTCCCTGCTGTATACTTTATTGTGCTTTAGCTAGGCTAATGACCTATGTCTTCACGCACGGAGTGTTCCACCGTCATACAAATCTCACTGTCAGAACGCACCAAGTTCAGAACCTTGCTATTAATTGCCACGTTGCTAGCCCTGTTCTAATCCCAGCGTGAACAGGCACAGATGGGATGTAAAAAGCTTAGAGATGTCCTTTAATAGCCATGCCTGGGCCTCTGAAAGCTCCTTTTAAAGCACTCAGCTGTGTAAAAGTTGTTATTTTGGGTCTATTTTTGGCACTTGAATGCATGACCCCTATCAAACATCCTTAGTTTGACTGGCCTGCAGCTTAGCTTGCAGCTTTAAGTTTCTAAACTCCTTGCAGAACACACTATGACTTTCTGCCTTCACTCCAAAAGGCTGACTACCACACCTTTGTGATTAACTCAAAGTCACAGTTGTTTAGTATAGGATTACACAGTATCATAATTACTGCAGCAATAGCAAGGCATCCTCAGCATGCAAAACCTCAGCATGCAAAACCTCATCAGGAAACAGGGGAGCACTGGTTACCTAAACCTCTTAAACTGGGCTTGCATCTGCCCTGAAAATTTCCCTGCACAGGGTTTTACATTTCTTTTGAACAACTAATAAGTTAGGATGCTACACCCGCTCCTTGGTGGCTAAGTCATAGGAGAATGATCATCGTGGGCTTAATAGTAGATCTGGGTTTGATTCACAGCTCTGTCGTGGATAATGTGTGATCTTGAGCCAGTCAGTGCCCCCATTTGTGCCTCAGTTTCTCCCTGTTGGAAATGGTGGGAACACACCATCTTCACATGTGTAATATGTGGCTTAAATCACGAATGTTTGTCAAGTGCTTTGGGAACCTCAAATAGAAGTGCAAAGTGATAGATAATCCTGTATAATATAATCCAACTGGCCTGCTGGTGTAAATTGGCCAGGGTCCATTGGAGCGACACTGACTTACAGGAGCTGAGGATTGGGCTTGGTATGAGTGATTTAGGAGCCCAAGTACCAAAAATGTGACTTATGCCCCTAGATGCCTAAATCTCATTGCAAATTAATAAGGATTCAGACCTTACGTGCCCAACACTTAGATTTTTAAAGGGATTTAGGAGTTGCTCTGCTCAGAATTGCAACGGCTGATTTAGATGGCTAAGTCCCATTTTCAAAAGTGATTTAGGCCTAGATATTTATTTAAGCGCCTAACTCCCACTGATTTCAATGGGAGTTAGGCATCTAAATACCCTTGGAGACCTGGCCTTTTGCAGTCTACGTCCTCTGACCTTTCAGTTTGATTTAGGTTCCGAAATACCCAAGTTACTTTTGAAAATGGCTAAGTTATTCACACGCTTTTGAAAATGTTTATTCCAGGTGTTTAGGCTGCTGAAGTTTTGCTGTTACTGATCTCAGTGCTTGGTGGCGATACCCAATGTTCCGGATAGTTTCTCTTAGAGTGTTTTTGGTGTTCTCTTTCAGCAATACCATTGACAGTTACTATGATGTGACACCCAAATCCTGCTCCCCACCTCCGACTGTACATCGCCAAGTGGAAAGGAGGCGAGAACTGGTGCGGTCTCAGACATTGCCACGCACTTCAGGAACACAGGCCAGGAAAGCGCTCTTTGAGAAATTTGAGCAGGACAGTGGGAAGTATGTCACTCCTTAGTCCCTCTTGCATCCAAAGGGGGCTCAGTAATGGGAAAATATTCTGCTAACAGCTTATAGCAGAGGGATCTCCAGATTTGGGAATTTGAGCAAAGGAAAGCTGGGGCCTGATCCAACTCCACTGAAGGCAGTGGGAGAATTTCCAGTGGGTGCTGGCTCAAGCCCTTGGTGGACACCTCCAACCAAGAATGAAGATCCGGTAATGTCAGGAGGTCAACCTGAAAGGGACAGAAGCCAGGAAATTCAGAGCTCAAGCTGTTGTATATTCACTCCCCTGGCCCAGTGGGTGTTGTTCAGAAGGAAGTGTTGTAAAAATCTCCCTCTGGATGGCTCATAAAAGGAGATGGATTTCATGGTCTTATAGTGTTATCTGAGAGCCAACAATATGTACTGTGCTTTACAGGACATGGTCCTTGCCTCAATGTTTATACTGTAAATAGAAGGTAGAGGTGAAATTCTGATTCTTTTGACGTCAATAGGGGTTTTCCCTTTAGCATGGTTAGGACCAGGTTTCCCCTATGCATGCCTCACATAGGCAAGGGGTGGAAGAAGAAAGGTTGTGTTTATGGGTTCTTTACTGTCTATGTCAGGGCACGCAGCTGATGTGAAGACATTCGGATTAGTCTCCTCTAGTCAAGGTTTTCTCCCTTTTCTTCTTCTAGAGGAAAAGGAGAGTCCAAAGCAAAGCTGAAGCGGTCACAGAGTTTTGGGGTTGCCAGTGCAAGCAGCATTAAGCAGATTCTACTGGATTGGTGTCGCTCCAAAACCATAGGATACAAGGTGAGAAGACGTCACTGCTTTCCATTTTAATTCTTTCCAGGAACTTCTTTGAGTATTTCTAGAGAAACTGTACTCAAAAAGTGTGTTCCACAGCTAGTGAATCTAAAATACACTAGACCATGGGTTACATTTATCACTGGTCTCCAAAAACCCCAAGAAACGGTGTGTGTATTGCTTAGTTCATTAGAAGTGAATGAGACTACTCACATCATTGAAGTTAGTGCTTAAGGGCTAGATTGTTTAAAATATTTAGGCACTCAACTCGCCATAGGAGTTAGATGCCTAAATTTCTTTAAAAATCTGGCCCTCGGTGCTTTGCTGGATTGAGGTCTGAATTGTTTGCGTTTACAAGATCCATCTTACGTTTGTGCACTCTCTGCTAATGGCAGTGTGTGCCTCCTTTATTCTATATAGTGAGATGTGGATAGGGCTGGAGATTACTCAGTAGTACTATTACCTGGAGACAAAGATAACTTAGTTATGCAGTAAACCAGACTACTCTCCATTGGAATTAGAGATGTTTAATCATATTAAATGCTTGAGGTTAAATTCTCCCAGTTTCAGCATGTTCGTGTCTATGGGATCGCTCCAGTGTAACTGAAGAGAATCTGACCTGGGGGAGGTTCCATTAATGTTACATAGCATTAAACTGCATTGCCTAATGCAATTGCGAGGGAAAGGGACAATTTCCTAGATTTATAAGAACAAAAGAATGCCCATGCTACAGTTCCATTCTGAGAAAACAAAATATTATTGTTGTTGAACACTAAACTCAAGGGTATGTTCCAACAGGTAATGAAACCATCAGTCTGACTTTTGTAGGGTGGGGAAAAGTCTAGCATCATGAAGCAAAAGAGCCCAGTTCCATTTCGTTACACGGGTGCAAATGCAGAGTGACTCTGGCTCTTTGCTGTAACGGCAAATGGGCCAGTTTCTGCACTGTCCTACACTGTGTGCAGTCCCTCTGGGGCAAAGTGTCCCCTCATTTACCTTCAGACAACTCCCTTAAAGTTAACAGGGCTAAGTCAGTACTAATTTGACCCTAAATGTGAAGCAAGCAAGTACAGGTTAGTCTTTATACGACACTAAGCACTGCACAGAAAAATACCATCCTCCGGTTATTGACTACTCCATAGGTATAAGTAATACTCTCGAGTAAGAGTAGATAAAGACAGAGGCTGATCCAATGCCCACTGAAGTTAATGGCAGTGTTTCCATTGTCTTCACTGGGCTTTGGACCAGGCCCGTAGACTAAACATCTGCTTTGCACCTGTGCTAACTTTCGCAAAAGGGCTGAGGATGCCAATGCTCCTCTTAGCTGAAATAACGTAATGGGTGTACAAACAAGGAAAAAAAACATAAGGCATCTGCTAAGTACTCTGCATGTTCCCTTTGGTGAGTAAGAGAAGGGCAAGAATACAGCCATGAGTGAAGACGGCTGCAGTTCCCAGCTCTGTACATGGCCCTAAAGCTCTGTTTGCATTCTGACAGCACCTTGATCTACAGAACTTCTCCTCGAGTTGGAATGACGGGATGGCATTCTGTGCCCTGGTGCATTCTTTCTTCCCTGAAGCCTTCGATTATAATGCGCTTGACCCAGCTAACCGCAAGCGGAACTTTGAGCTGGCTTTCACCATGGCTGAGTGAGTATCACTTTAGATCTCTGTGAAGTGCATCCAATTAAAGTCTCACAAGACTGTGCGGCAACAGAGTGTGATCATTTCTCTCTCATACCCTCCATCACAAGCTCACCCTTCTTATGCCAGAAAAGGGTAGTAAGACTTTACAAGACATCACATGAAGCAGGAGGCTCAGGAATCAAAAGAGGCATTTTTAGCAGATGACTGGTAATCAATAAGTTGTTGCAAAGAAACTCCAGGGCTCTGTGTCCCAGTCTGTCTTTGGATTCATGCACTCAGATTCTTGCCTGCCAACTCCAGTTCTCTATCAATCAGAGCTATTATATACACAAGGGATTTAGGAGCATCAGTACCATTTGAAAATCTCCCCCATAACGCTTAGCACCAGAGTATCTATAAAGCACTTATCACTGTAGCTTCTAATAGCTGGGTCCTGCTCCCACAGCAATCCATAGCAGTCTTGCTACTGACATCCGTGGGAGGCAGGACTGTGTCTTTAGAGTGTGGGTACGTGCACTAACATGAAGTTCTGATGCACTTGATTTAGGTCTGGAAATTCATGGTTTTCACTTTAACACTTTCAGAAGACTTAACTTGACCTTTCTATTGCACATCATAGAGCTTCCATTCAGGTTCCATTCAGTAGCTTAAATTAACCTGGGCTGTTGTCTAATCGGATGTTGTTTCCCTCTAGTCCTTTGAGGGAAATAAGTTAAAATAGCTTTTACAAATTCTGCTGACAGTTATTACTGCATGTTCCCGACAGGTGGCTTTTCTAAATCCATGTAAATATCCATCTGGAAAGCTCTTAAACCTTATAAATTTTATTAATTGAGATTTGGAAAAAACCAGAAATGGTCTTAAGATGGATTAGTAGTAACTATGACAAAGTAACCAGATCAGACCATATGACTCGTAACTGTTGACAGCCTATTGGATTTCAATGTAGCAGAGAACAGAATACATGCACTTTCCTTGAGACAGCTGGAGGGTGGGTTATACAGGGTGACTTACAAGCACTGGAAGATACAAACTGAATTTAAAAGAAGTTATTATTCCATTGTTAGAAAATTGGGTCACTTTAAAAATTACTCTCAGCCAGATCCTGTAAATTGGCGGATGCCATTGATTTGACTAAACTGGTCTAGCTCCATTGACTTTAACAGCGTTACACTGATTTACAGCAGCCTGGGATCTGCCCCTCCAACTTTAACTTACGAGGTCAAGGATTCTTTGCCTTTGAGTTGAAAAGTTTAGGATTTGGAACCAGGAACCAAAACAACAGTCCCAAGAGTCATGATACCATGGTGCCTAATCAGTCAAACTCACATTTACAATACTCTAACTTGGCAGATAGGACAACTGCCTTTTGGCATCCCCTGAAAGGGAACAAGGGTGGCTATTGCAAGGACACTTGCAATGAGAGATTATCCCCCCCACCTCTCAACAAGCCTATCATGGCAAAGTATGTGCAAGACACGGCCGTTGTCTTTATTCTTCTGTAGCTGTAAAATGATGTTGATCCGTGAAATAAACACAAAATTAAGTGGCGAAACAAATGTAAAACATGCATCGGTCAAGAGGCTGTATATGAGTGGTCTTTGGGCAGACACTAGTTGTGGTGTTAACATACGAAATAGCGAGGAAAGTGGAATGCAGTACCAAAGGCCTTTTACTGGTCCTGCTATGCGTGTTTACAGGATGTACAGAACTAGTATGCCGCTGGCATATATACACAGCAAGATTCTGTGTACTTGCATTTCTGCAATCGACACTTTCCTTAAACTGAATTTCTCCTGACTTTTGGGTGACTAAGGAACATACTATCAGACTCTCACGTTTGGTTTTTTTGTTTTAGTGGAATACCATTGTTGTTTAGAACAACACTTATTTTGCTTTGTGAAATACTGTTAGGAGGGACGAAAGTTATGTCTGTACACTCTTATCATTGTCAATTAAAATGTCAGCCTAGGGCTCTGTTGTTAACACACGCATTTGTCTAAGGGCCCGTCTCTGCTGGGGAGTGATTTGTACGGGTGTAGTTAGACAGGCACAAATCCCAGTGTAGATGTGCTGCACCAGTGCAACTTAGTGTGGTTTGAAACTGGAGTAAGCTGCAGCAGGGCTTGTCTACATGATGCGTTAGTGCGCCTCAGTGGGGTTTGAATTGTAGCGTACACCAGCATGTTGTACGCTAACTGGCCCACGTGCACCCTGCTAACCTACACTAAAAGTTCCTCAGTGCGTGTTGAGTCCTGTTTCAAACAGTACTATGTTAACATGCACTAGGGAACTTTTAGTGCACGCCAGGGGCTCCACACAGGCCAGTTAATGTGTAACACTCTAGATGCAGACTAACACACTGTGTAGACAAGCCACCAGTATTTCATCAGTGCAGTACATTTACACTAGTCGTTGGCACTGGTGTAGCTACACTGGCACAAATACCCTTAAGGTCTGTCTATATTGGGGTACATCTACACAGGGGTAAAAAAATCTACGGCTGGCCCGGGCCAGCTGCCTTGAGCTCACGGGGCTCGGGCTCCGTAAAACCGCTGTGCAGACGTTCAGGCTTGGACTGGAGCTCAAGCTGCGGGATCCTGCAAAGATGGAAGGTCCCTAAGGTCTACGCAGCAATTTGTAGCCCCGGAGCCTGAGCCCAAGTCAGCTGACCCCAGGCCAACTGCAGCCATGCCGTGGGTCTTTTATCTCTATGTAGACATACTCTAAGTCTCTTAACTAGGACTTGAAAAATATTCAGTACTATTTTGTTCCATAGACGGTAGCAAGAAAAGCAAAACTACCAAGGGATGCCAGCTGGTGGACTATTGATTATAGATCACAGAACTCTCCCAGTGTCACATGGAGTACAGGTTCACTTGCTATTAAAGGCAGAGCCGATTTAATTGTGTTTCCCAGCTGCAAAGGTCTGCAGATATCCCTCCAGACTCCTGCAGCTGTGTCTTCTATTGCAGGCCAGTGGGAACTTCAGATGATGTTTCCTCTCTTTCTTCCCAAGAGTAAGCATCAGGAACAAAGCTTTGGCCTAGTCAGCACTGTCAAGACCAAATCCAAGCTAATGAAGGAGCAGATGGCCTAATGGAGAATGTAGTGTTAGCACTCTTCTTGTTAAAACCCTAGTATGCTCTAGCTCATTGTAGCTTCATAAAGGACCTGATGTCTGAAACTCTGGGTCGTGCTATAAAAGCTAATCTTTCCATTAGGCCAGTCGTCAACATGTATTGGGAGCGTTCAAAGTTAAAATCAAGAATCAGACAGCAGTCAAAGCAAATCACAAGGAAAGCTCTGAAGTGCTACAGTTTATGGAAAGTGGCTCATTTTAACAGTTTAAAGCATTCCACTAAATTCCGTTCTGCCATTTTCTACATAAAAAAACATTTACTGGTCTTAAGGGGTTCGACATTATACTGAAGCTTTATTAGGTAATGGCTGCAATGTAAGTGTGCCATCTCAGTGGGATGATTTTATAACCAGCCTTACAGTGTTATTTCACTACTCTTTGGGAAAATGGGCTCTATATCCTCTATTTGGACAGAGAAGAACCTACATCCTTTCTAGCTTTTTATGATACAAGTCATAGGTGACTCTTACTGAACTTTTCAAGTAACCATCATAACAAAGAAACCGAGGTTTACAGACGCTTCAGGGAGTTAGTTATCCAACTCTCATTGACATTCAGCGGGAATTGGGCAACGAACTCTGAAACCCCTTTGAAAATCCCACCCTAATACCCGATTTAGATGAGGTCTGCATGCGAATCTCGCCCCGCTGGAAAGATCAAAAGTATGCAGCAAGTGGTTTAGTTTTCTGGAGTGAGATTTGCAAGTCTCCTCCTAGTTATGTCCATGAGAGTTGACTTCAGTGGTAGCAGAGAGGGGCTAGTGCTGTGCATTTCTGAAAAATCTCAGCCCTGCTTGTTAGGCGAAGCTCTGTAAAACAGATTGAGGGATCACACCACGCAGTTGCGTCATCCTGTGTGTTTTGGCACACCGGATCAGTGAGTGAGACCAGCCAGGGTTTGCTAAATTCATAACAAAGGGGCATTTTTCAGCTATTTGATAATTTTGTTCAATTACAGAAGGAAGGAAATTTTAAGCTGCTTGACCCAATGTAAACATGACTCATACTCAGCTGCTGTGCAGTTTAACTCGGGTAACAATAAGAGCGCTCCATGGGATACACAGTCAGGTTCAGCATGCTCTTTCCAAATAATCACAGGATGCAGCAATGCACGGCTACAGGCACCTACAGCTTTTGATGTAGCGTCAAACACTAACACTGATGTACAGTAGGCCCCACTCGGAGTGAAGTTTTTCAAATCAAAACTTCATTAGAACTGGAATCACCGTTTGCCATGAAGCAAAACTCGCACTATAAAGGCCATGCACCGTATTTGAGCTCGCTGCAAGCGAGGTCAGTCATAGATAAATAAAATGATAGGGGAAGAATCTTTCTTACTCCTGCTGCTCATTAACAATCCCGTGAGTAAGCCTCAAGATTTTTTAGCTGGTTGATTTCTGACATGAACTATAATAGAATGCATTACCTCCCACACGCCTCTCTCATGTCACAGGGTGGCTCTGTACAGCCCTGGTTTGGGCTTCCCCTTTTCTCAGGACTCTCTTAGGTTTCCTTATGGTTAACACCACCCCAGCCTAGGGCTGGTTCAATAATATTTACAGTTCCAAAACAAAAAAAATCCTCAGATAAAGTCCATCACCACCACACACACATTCATACTCAGCTTTAGCATGTACAGCCAGTCCTGGAGCTCTTCTTCTGTCCCTGTTGGCTCTTCACTGAGCAGCCACTCTCAGTCTTTCCTAGCTGGAATTCAGCCTTCTCACACACTAGCCCTCCCCTTATTCCTTAGGGGCTCCTGGGCTCTGTACCCTCTACCACAGCCGTCTCCCCAGCCGGAGCTGAGAGAGATCCGTGGGTAGTCAACCTTCCCTTACTGGTGCCTGCCCCTTTATAAGGCCCAAGTGCTTTCCCTTAAGCCCAGTTGGGCAGCAGGAAATCAGTCCCAGGTGCACTGGACCCCTCCCTCCCTCCCTCTCCAAGGGACCAGTCATCCTGTGGCCCAAACCCAGCTTTTTTCATAGCCAAGATGGTGTGCCGAGATAAATGTAGGCTAGACCACAAGAGACTCTGAAAATTCAGTAGTAACCTATTAGATAAGAGCTGCCTGTGGAAATGTAGGCTTCCCCCTGGCTGTTGTTGACTGCGACCTCAGTGTTTTCTTTTAGACCAGAGAAAGACTGGTCTCTCTCATTTCCTTCCACATGACTTGGGTTCTACTGGACAAACCTCTGTCTGCCCAGTGTGCATCATTCCACAGCCCTTCTGTCACCCCAGGCCTCAACAGACATCTGCTCTTCTGCCTCATCCTGGATCCTAGCCTGTCAGCCCTGATCCTGATGACTATCCAGGACTGCTGCCTGGGTCACTCCCACCTAAAACAAACATCCAGGCCTTCCTCATGAATTCCCTTGCCATTTCACTTACCCCTGTTGTCCTCTGCAAGCATCCCTACTGGCTGACAGAACAGCCCTGGGTTCCCCTCTGAACAACTGGAGTGACCTGGGCTTCCTTTCTCCTGCAAGTGGGAGAAGAGGATTTGCAAACCCAAGGGACCCTGCTTGCTGAGGCCCAGGGCAAGGCAGGGGAACTGTGGCATGATGAGAGATAGGGATGCATCCAGCAAAGCATTAAGGGCTTGATCTAAAGTCTATTGAAACCAACAGAAAAAAATCCCACTGAGCTTTGAATCAGACCATGAGGAGAAAGGAGAGACGTGGAACAGGAATGTTCCCTGCTTACAGAAAATGGCAGCCTTCAAGCAACACATGAGCTTGACTGTTTCAGTGTTAACTACAATGTTATAGAGATTTCTTTGATAGAAAATTCCACTGTTTGATACAAGCCCAAGTGATTCCGATATCGGGGTAGCAAATGGATACTGGAAATTGTTGGCAATAACCCTGTTTGATGGATCTGTTTTGGTGTTACTGCAGGAAACTGGCTCACTGCGACCGCCTGATAGAAGTGGATGACATGATGGTGATGGGACGCAAGCCAGATCCCATGTGTGTTTTCACCTATGTGCAGTCACTGTATAATCACCTGCGTCGCTTTGAATAAACCCACCAGGGAAGCTTGAATACAACCCCATACTGAGACTACTCCGGTGTTTTCTCAACGAAAGGAGAGCAGTGTTTTGAGAATAGAACGTGGCCACTATTGTTCACGCAGAAGCTTGTTATCGTCCCTGTGCTTGCATTCAGCCTCGTCCCTGCTTACACTGTTGCCAAGCAGGGCCCCAAATAGTGTTGATCACAGCAACGGGCCAGTAAAATATAGGGAAAGGCAGAAATCGTCATTCTGGTGCTAGTGATAAGTTGTTTTAAATACAGTTGTGTTAAAAGATTGAAGAAAGCTAGATTATAAGTCTCCTTCTGGTCAGCTTGGGACACATGGCTCTGTATGGTAAGAGCACCTCTGCTTCAAAGTCATTCTCTCCTACCACAGTTTAAGCCACACAGGAGAATGTAGATGATGTTTTCTACTCCTCTACCCAGTGTAACACACAAGAAACAGAAGGCAGCTTACACCAAGACTTTACAAAGGAAGGCAGCCTCTGCTCTAGTGAATACAAGTTATTTGACTTCCACCATTGCAATATCACCGTGCTCGGGTGTGCTTATTATGTTATGTGTGTGCGCGCAATGTGACAGCCGCTGGTGGGGGTTTTTAAAAATCAGTGGCCCATATGGGGATTGAAACCACAGCCCAGGGCCTTTGCCACTTAAGCTAAAGGAGTTACACACTTCACTTGCAGCAGTAGTAAGCTATTATCTTTTATCTGAATCAGCTGCTGGGGCAAGGGACACAACTCACCGAGTGTCTGAGCTCAAATCCCCATATGGGCTATTACTGTGTAACAGACTCCACCAGCGTGTGCTAGTGGGGGGGGGGGGGGGGGCAAACCTGAAAATCTTTTGCTCCAGTGGTTGGTTGAGGCCTGTGCAGGTCCTGGCATAAGTCCTTGCTAAGGAGGCATCGGGGGAGCAGGGCTGTTATTTGTACGCATTTATGTACGTGTTCATAAATTTAGTGCTTACAAACCAGCGAGTCCTCGGGAGTCCTATTTAACAGGTGCAGCACAGGCAGCACCGACATGCCTCCACCCCAGCCCTAGAAGAGATCTCCATGATCCATTCCCTCCTCGGCCTCCCTGCTGAGGGGGCCTGCTAAGGTGCCACTGAGTATAAATGATTTGGGAGTTTTGGAACACCTTGGGCTATTTCTGATCTCAGTTAACCCACAGTAACGTCAGTGGTGTTATTCCAAATTTACACTTGTGGGGGGAAAAAAAAAAAAAGATCAGATTCCACCCTCTGGCTTCTGTTCACTAGATCAGCAGCTTTGTTTTTGCAATGAATGTAAAAAAACTGAAGTCCCATCCCCCCCCCCGAACAAACTAATAGAACGTAACAACTGCCAGGCAAGCAGATTGCTCTTGCTAAAGAATGGTTTTTTTACCTGCATCTGTTTCTGTTCCTCACAGATATTTATAAAAATGACTTTGGTTCTGTATTGATGACCATTTATAATAAAATATATGTCAAACTCCTTTTGGTTCAGTGCTTCTGGCTGAGTGGAGGATAGAGCAGGAAAGAGATTCCCAGAAAAGTTTTTTCAAAACTGAAATATATTTAGAATTTAAAGGAAAAAAACACAACACACTGGGTCCCATTGTGATCTCAGTCACAGGGCTGTAAATCCAGAGCAACGTCATTGGCTTCAGGATGTGACTGAAGCCGCTGGGTCCTTCTGCAGTACAAAGGATAGTAATAATATTTAGTAGGCTACAACTATTTGCATGGTAGGGACTATCACACCTGCTCTCTGTATGAGTGTCGTGCTCCCTACCAAGGCTCCTCCTTCATCTACATGGAGATGACCCACTACTAAGGATAGTAGTTTAGGACTCAGACTGAATTCAATTCCCTGCTCTGCCACTGATATCCTGTGTGACCTGGGCCAAGTCACTTAATCTCTCTGTAGAGATGAGAAACTGAGGCTCAATGGGGAAAATAGCACTGTCCTACTGCCCAGGGGTGTTGTGAGGATAAATATGGTAAGATGTGTCGATACTATGATGATGGGAGCCATATGTGTACCTAAGATAGATATAGCTCAGACTGTCCCACAGATCATCCTGCTTCTCCTCAGTTGGCTTCTAGAGCCAGCAACTGCTGCCTGCTTCCCCCCACTCCTCCCCACCCCACTTTACAGAAAACTGGCAACAAGAGTTTTTTAAAATGTAAATAGTAGTTGAAACTACAGTTTTTAAGCATGTGCAGCTCAAACGCTGGACTTGCTAAATATACCAGGCCAGATCCTCGGCTGGGGTCAATCACCATGGCACCCTTGAAGTCAATGGAGCTACAGTAATCTGGCCCAACTACGTCACTGCAGTCCCCTTCTGTACAATGCACAAGCTTGCTCAACTGAGTCAACACAGAGGGACAGGAGGCTGGCCTCTCACTGCAGAGTTAGGAGCCAGCCCAGAAGGGACAATGATGCTAACATGGATTGCTAAATGCACCATCCCTGCAGGATTTTCACTCCTTTGGCCACACTCCTATTCCTGTTGAAGTCAATGACAAAACTTCTGTTGGTTTCAATGGGAGCAGGATCACTCTCTTCCTTATAACAACTACACTGTCTGAGCAATCACTAGAGAACCAGCACGCGTAAATGTGCGTGCAACTGTCGAAAAAATTACCAAGCTGAGGTGGTTCAGGCAGTTCCAGATCTGTTCGTCCGATGGACTGAACTCAGCAAATGAATTTTACATGGTCCAGGTCATAGTTTGTCGAGTTACAGATCTTCTCCCCCTCACTGCCACGTTCTCATCTTATCCAGCCTATTTTGTTCCAACATCTGAAGCAGGACTTCCAGATACCTTGCAGAGATAATTACATCACAAGCCTAGGGCTGAGCCCCTCCTTTGCCAACTGCATAGCAAAGACCAGGCAATAACTAAGTATTCTCTCACAACAACTTTCTAAAGTTTGGTTGTTCTGAACAGTGGGCCAGTTGATAAGTTGGTGTAAACACATGCAACTCCATTAATTTCCGAGGAGCTTCTCTCAGTTGCATCAGCCTAAGTTTGGCCTGAAACTGAACAAACCAACACATGGGGGTTGGGGGAAAGACAACAAACAGAAGAGCTATTGACTGTAGTTACCCCCACCACTTCCCTCACAGTTTTCAAAGGGAATCCCTCAAACAGGAAACACACACTGAGATTTCCTAGTTGCACTTCAATTGTGAAATATTTTGCTACCCCCTTCATGCTGAAAAGTGTTGGATCAATTCAATCAGAGATGAGCCCAAGCTACACCATTCCAATCTGGGTCTGAACTTTCCCAAAGTTCAGAAGGATTTGGATGGAGAGAGTTTTCTTCCAATCCAAATAGTTTGGACAGAGTTTTGGATCAGGTACCAAACAGCCCAAAGTTCAATGGCATTTGGAGTGGGAGTTTGGCTCAGGCCCCATCTCTTGTAGAATATATTATTGCCCAATATAAACAAGGCTGGGGCTCTTGCTTTTCTAGCAAACTGGAAAAGAATAAGGAAAAGCCATTAACCGAATACGTAAACTGACAGTTCAAGCTGGGGGGCATCCTGCTGTTCATAATGCAGATATCCTGTTGCTAGTGTCACAGTGGAAACAATTTGAAAGCCTTTATGCACATCTGAAAAATATAAGGTGCCACATCCCAGTTACTGCTAACCTTCTAGCTTTTACGGAAGTGGATGGAGGTTTGGCATGCTTTTGCCAACTTGTCAGATAACGCTTTGGTGTTCTGAGTTTTAACATTGTCCTGAATGACCAAAATCATGATGGAGAGTAAAGATGTATACACAACTATTGCTCAGCAAAATGTGTTCTGAGTTGGAAAGCTCTAGATTGCTATTTCACAGTAATAGTCAAAGTCTTTATCCTGTTGAAATGCTCTGAAAGGAAACCTGTCTTTAGAGCCAGAACATACAGACCCTTTCTCACAGCACAGCAGCACTATTTTCTCCATTAACATGGTCAGTAGGGGCATTACAGTATGATTCTTACTAGCCATATATCTTGCATCACCCCAGATTCATTCACATAGGTCCCCACTCAAAGGGCTCGCGCTCCATTGATTTCAATAGGACATAAGCATGAACTTAGGTGCTTTGCCAAATCAAAGCCAAATGCAAATCTACTGAGGCACGGAAAGCTGAAATGACTTGCCCAAGGTCCTCCAGCAAACCTGGGTTCTATTCCTGGCTCTGCTACTTGTATGGTGGCGGTATGCTGCTTGTATGCCCCAGGTTCCCCATCTGTAAAAATGGGGATAATAATAGTGACCTGGTTTGTACAGAGCTCTGCAAGATACACTGATTAATAGCATTATAGAGAAGATATATTCATGAAGCAGTCACAGGCCAAATATTGTGCAGCACCAGACTTCCTCTCCTTCACTGTTTCAGACGTGGCCACTGACTTTGTCTTTTGCATTTAGCTAGTGGCAAGTAACTATTATTTTACAATTATGATATATTCTTGGACATCTGTTTTAAAAAAGTAGAAATATGAGAGCTCATTATAAAAAATGAACTCACTTTCAGCTAAATTTAGCCTTGTCGGAAGTTTTTTTGGTTTTTTTTTTTTTAGAATCAACATTGCAAATTTTGAAAATTTTCAAACCAGCTCTACACCACACACATGTATGTATATTGCACTGGCAACTTTTACTCCTTCTTCATCTTGTCGGCTTTCTCAATTTGTTAATAGTATGTGATCTAATTTATAATGAAATATAAAATTAGTTGTGCACGAGCTTGCACTAAAACTGAAGCCTTTAAGGGACACCTCTGCTGGATTTCTTTATATTATTTTTCCGGCTCCACAAATACCTATTCTTCAAAAGGGAGAACAGGAGACCAGCATTTAATAGAGATTAATAAAAGTGGTATATATCAGATTCAACGGCAAATGGCAGTTTTGAAATAGATGGCTCACTGGTTTTCTAATGTCCTTCTAAAACAACTTCAGAGCCAGTCCTCAATGCATACAAAAGAGCAATCATATTGTTCAGTGGCACTTCAAGCCTCCTTATAAGACCAGATTATTTTGCATTCAATTTCTGCAACACGAAACATGTTAATTTTTCCTTTTCAGAGATTTCCTGGATTTCAGTGTAACTGATTAGGGGGCCCAAGCCTGCAAATCCTCACTTTTGGGAGCAGGTTTGCAGACTTAGGCCTTCAGTAAATATAGTTATCAAATTGTAGGCTCCTTAGAATAGAGACATGCCATGTTTTATTTGGTTGTAAAGTGTGTCAGACACACCTCTCTAAACATTGGTAGCAAGCAGCTGATCTAGTATTAACAGCGACTGAACATTTCTCTGCTGTACTTCTAAGCATTTGCAGTAGAACACTGACCTCTAATGGCTAGAAAGCAGTTCAAGATCACTCTGTGTAGTGCTAATTCAACTATGCAAATTCATTTGAACACATTCCCAAACGCATATCTCATATAAATAAATAAAATGCATTGAATTATCTGATTACTTTCAAAGCCAGACTAAAAGCAGTGTCTGAAAATTAAGAGACATCACTGTGCATGTACAGTTTAGAGCAGGGGTCAGCAAAATTTTTGTCCTAAAGGCTACATCAGGGTATGGAAATTGTATGGCTGGCCATGAATGCTCAGGAAACTGGGGGTAAGGGAGTGGGTGCAGGCTCTGGGGTGGGGCCAGAAATTAGCAGTTCAAAGTGCAGGAGGGGGCTCCGGGTTGGGGTGTGGGCTTTGGAGTGCTCTGGGTTGGGACCAATGAGTTCAGAGGGCAGGCAGCTCCCAGAAGCATGTCCCCCCTCCAGCTCCAAGGCTCAGCCAGGCGGCTCTGCGCGCTGCCCCGTCCACAGGCGCCCCGCCGCTGGCAGCTCCCATTGGCTAGGAACCACAGCTGATGGGAGCTGCAAGGACGGCGCCTGTGGACGAAGCCCCACCGCGCAGAGCCGTCTGGCCATACCTCCGCATACTACGCAGGAACCGGAGCGGGGGATTGCTGGCTGCTTCCTGGGAGCCGCACGGAGTGGGGCAAACCCCCGACCCTGCTCCCCTGCAGGAGCTGAGGGCCAGATTAAATGGTCTAAGGGGCCGGATGTGGCCCGCGGGCCATATAGTTCGCCCACTCCTGGTTAAGAGCATTGTTTGAAATATCCATAATGACGTTTTAAAACATGATCAATAGTAACTTTAATTATTACATCAGAGACAAAGTAAGATACATGTGTAGCACCAGGGGGATCTGAATGAACAAAGGAGAGAAGCTACATTGCCAGGAACTCCAACAAACTTCAGTGCAGCCAGATCCTCACTATCATACCTGCCTCCCCTAGATAGGGCCACAGGCAACACTCAGAAGAACATGGTTTCACTTTCCATTCCCCCAGCCTCTCTCAAACCAAACCCCTCTGCGACCCTGCTAGTGAGAGATGAGAAACCCTTACAGGACTTTATGAATGCATTCATAACAGTTGTATACACACTTCCCTTTGGAGTGCTTGAACATTGTAATCTGATCAGTATAGATTGTGAATATGCATTTTCATATGATGAATTTCTATATATCAATCACTGTGCAGCCTACAAGGAAACCCATATTTAGATTTCAAGAACCAATTACCATTGTATCTATTTAAGGGCCCCAAGTGTGTCTCCACAGTAAAAATGCAGGGATAGAACAAGTTAACAAATTAAACAAATAATCACCTTCAGTAGCTGGATAGGTGCTTCCTACCTCTGTTCCATCCAGAAGTTATGTGGAGTTTCTAAGGAGAACACTGGCAGTGATGCTGAGTGAGAAGAGGATGTCCCAGCATAATTACCTTCCCATCCATATAATTCTACTGAATTTCTGAGATTGTTTCCTTCTGCACCATCCAGCTGTGGAGAATACAGAGGTATATAGAACAAATATCTTTTGCAGCAGGGATTCCACTTTAGTTGGATATATTTACCCAAATAATATGAACTACATCACTAATCAGATTACAGTGGGCAAGTTATGCTCTCATTTATTTGTGAAAGCATCAAGATTGCATTGGTATAAAGAAAAACAAAATTTGGTCCATTATCTTCTCACCCAGTGATTAAACACTTTTGAAATGTATCAAATTCTCATTTGTTTTCTCTGATGAAATCCACAAACAAAAATTTAAGAAGCTCCATATTTAGATTTAATTCTTTTTGAAAGAGACAAAAGATTGAACTTGTAAACAATTATTTAACATTAAAAATAAATGGAGCAAACAAGTTAGAAATGTTAAAGAAACACCGAAAAAGGCACAAACATTAGAAAGTGGCTTCCTTGAAGCATTGATCAACATAGCATTTACTGGTTATGGTGCCCAGTAATGGATAAAATTAGAGACCTTCTAGTAATTCCATGTACTACAGACCAGAACAACTGGCAAGTCCATGTACTACTGACTGGACCAATATTAGGTACAAATAAGCATAACTCTGTACAGTATTTTTACTTGCCAGTGTGGTAGCTTTGTAAAGATGCTGTCTGTAGGTGAACACAATCATTCTGATTTTGCTACAACTGAAGATAACGTGTTCCTATTTCTGGTCCAGCCGATTCGGGATTACAAAATAGGCGGCTAATGAGCCAGTATGGCTAAATGAACAAAGCTAAAAACACTAGTCCCCAAACCCACATACAACTTAACACAGCTGTCAGTATTTATAAAAGTCAGCCCCCTCAACAACATTTAAACTTCATGATCAGGCTTGATGCTTTCCTGTCACTTCCTCAGCTCTCCTCTCCTGTTTAAGCTTAATGTCCTAGTATTTAGTCTTATTGCTATTTCTATTTGATAGGCCAGAGCCAACTCCTTTCATATAGGCACTGTTATAACTATTTAAGTCACTGTAGTTTGTCACCTTAGGTGTTGCTTCCTCCTCAGCTGAGCTCTGAAACTAAGTGGCCACTAAAGCCATTTTTAGCAATGAATCATACTTAGGCTCTGTGGCAATGAGGAATTTGGACATTTACAAAGGCTTTGAACTGGTTATCTATATCAGAGTTGAAGTGGCTGATACAGCTATAAATGGCAGATCATCTAAGGTTGAAAGTAGAGCTGTAGAAACAGAAAACAGTTTGCCAAGAGAACTCACCTGACGTCCCTTTGATGGCGCAGTTAAGACAGATGGGTCACTGGGGATCAAGAAGTTTTGGCAACTACAGAGTTATTTTAGTGGACACAATTTTGGTCAATGTGGAAACTCCAGTCAATAGTGCATGGGGACAACCTTGTTGTTTATTGAGACAGTAACGAGGGTTGTAATGACTTTGGCAATAAACTATTCTTTAAGTTATGAAGGTGGAAGCCCTGCCTATTCTGGAGGTAACAGTGACTATGTAAAGGAGCCATGTTATGGCAGTTATGAAGTAATGCATATGGCTTTAGAGTGGAGTGCTTAAAATTCCAATAATTCAGCAGACATGTTAAATACAGTATTCCTTGATGACCAGTTAAAAGCAACACCTGTTATAGGTAGTAACATGGGGTCCCAATTCTTGAGGGGTTCCTAATATGCTCCGTATGTGCTTTGTATTCACCAAAACCCAGCAGCAAATTATCTGTAAATCGCAGATTACAGAAATACTTTAATATAGAATGTAAATGGCCAGTTCATAGAGAAACATGCACCACTCTGTTGGCCAATGCTTGCTGAGGGCACGTGAGTGGACTGGCACAAGTTTCCTATAGAGTAAGGAAGCTTCTACAACTAAGTTTCCAATCTCTTGTACTTGGTGACAAATCCAACGACATGCTAATGGTGAGAACCACAAGAGGAAGGGATGGTTCAGATACTACAGGGATAATAGGAGACAGGGCAGTACCTTTGCTTTGACATGATCCTTTGCCTAAACTGCCGTGAGCTTAGCTCTAGTTTGACGTTTTCCGACTTGCCCAAGTCTAAATGCCATAGCAAGTCTATGCTGTAGGATAGAGTACGCTAGATGACATTTTATCTACATTGATTTGGACCTTTCAACAACTTTTTTTAATGCTTGTCTTTTTAAAACTATATGCACCTCGGGCCCAAATTATCTTCAGATTCACTGGTGTAACCCTTGAAGTAACTCTGAATTTACACTAGCGTAAGAGAGAAGTATTTTCCCTGCCCCCATTTCCCAGGAGGATCCATGCACACAGGTTAAATGAAGTGTCTTCATATGCGTTAATGATTAATGTAACACCAAAATAAAGAGGTCAACTGGAATAATTTTTGAAGAACAAGTGTTATAATGTCTTAAGTTTATTCTCTCTTTCAGGGAAAAAAAACCCATTTGCCATGCTCAGTGTTCCAGTTTGGCAGGCTGATTACTAAAGCATATATTAAGAACCAACGTATTTATCTGTTCATAAATACAAGACTACAAAATATGTTTTAGGGCATTATCTAACCCTTGAAGATGCAGCTCCCTGAGTTCCTATACCAGACAGAACATCAGAGCAACGTTCAGTGATGTCCCTCAAGAAGCTGGAAGCAGGGGTTAGTGAAATCTGGGGCCAGATCTCCAGTAAGACTGCAATGGCCAAGTAATACAGACAGAGCATAAAACACTGCAGAAGGTTTGGAAACTTTATTCTGCAATTTTAGAATAGTGCTAGACCTACAGTCCTTACTCAAGTAAGACTCACTGAACTCAACATGAGCTTTACTTAAGTAAATATAGCAGGACTGGGCCCTTATATAGTAGGGATGTAAAAGGTTAAACAGTTAGCTGGTAAGCATTATGCTGACCGTTAACTGGACCTTAACCGTTAACCCCAGCACAACCCCAGCCCCGGCCAGTGGGCCCCCTGCCCCGGAGTGACCTCGGTTAACCAATTAAACAATATTATTTTAATCATTTAACCGGTTAACTTTTTAAACTGATATTTACATCCCTATTATAGGCCAGTGATCTGGTCCCAAGCATTCCTTGCCGCTTCTAATGCCTCAGATCAGAAAGCTAGTCCAGCATTCTCTCCACAGCAGAAGCCCAAAAGGCAGCTTCCTCCTGGCCCAGAAATCAAACTCAAAAGTAAAAACAAAACCCAAACAAAAAAAACAAAACCCCTATTTACACACTTGCTATTCAGCCTGACAGATGCTGTCAGCCAGCATGGAAAGTTTGCTCCCTTCTCCAATTTTTCAGCATATGTGATCTTTCAAGAACAGTGTGGCAGACTCTGCTCTCATTTATACCAGTGTAAGTAAACAGTAACTCTATTGAAGGCACTCAAGCCTTGTCTACACACACAAGTTGCACATGTTTAAAAATCAGATTACCTAAATCTGTTTTGGAACCAGTGCACTTTTAAAACTAGTTTATGCGTCAGGGTAAAATCTATGCAAGCCAGGTTTAAATTAAATGAGTGTCCATACACGAGTTAACAGTAACTAAAATCCATTTAAAACCAAACAAAAAACTTTTAGTTGTTTGACACAGCTTTGTGTTTCGATGGGGCCTCTTTGGAGTTTAATGGTCAATAAAATTAATCCAGAGATACACTCATGTAAACAGCAGAATCCAGCCAAGTGTTTTTACTTTAATTGGTTTTCTGCCTACCAAGATCATTAATTTCAGCTGTGTTAGGAGCCAGTATGTATGCAGTTAGTAATGCTGCCCTACTAACCTTTTCTCTACAGCATACAACTTATAAACTTTGAAGTAGTGTAATGTTTGGATTACAGTTTTGTCACTTTAAAGAATGAGGACGGAGTGATAGTTTTTGCATTTCAAACACCTTTGATAATAAACCATAGGCAATAAGTTCAATTTAGATCTGCACTCATTGGCCTTGGCTAGCCAGCTATCCAAACTGTCCTCGTTAGACTTATACAAGCAGCATCAGGCAGTTTTCCAGACCTTGTTGAGAACATTGACCACTTCTTCATAAATAACAAACACAATTGCTACATCCAAACAGACTCGACCAAGACGGGGAACTGTTCCTTTGTAAAATCTGTAGGTAGAAGAATTATAAATAAGAAAATGCTTCACAGAAGAACATATTTTTAGTTTTTGGAATAAAAATTCAGATGATTTGAACAACGAAGTTGCCTATACAGCTATAAATCTATTTCACAAAGTCAATCTCAAGGGCAAGTTGAACTTCTACAGTTTTGCAAATAGTTTCTAATAAGTATTCCTAAAACAAGTTGCCTACAGTAACTGATTATATCAGATTCATAAACTGGCAATGAAAAAACCCTGTTAGATCAGTCCCATCTGTTGGCAAATAGGCAATAGTTCTTATAAAAGATCAACAGCATAAACTGTTCCACAAGCATGTATGGAGAAGAATGAAAGTTATCAAATATGCTTCCATCTTCTTTTCCTCTGTGACCAGTCTGCATGTGACAGACAGTCATTTGGGGCAGGGCAAGGAACAGTAGTTGTAAATGGCATATACTAGTTCTAGACTGCACTAAAAGTGAACCCATGAAGACAGACACCAAAACAGTACTAAGATAATATCCATAAATGCCATTCTAGCAAAGAGGTGTACGGTGGGCTAAGAAGTGTTACCCATCAAAATATGGAAAACAATAGTTTCACTGAAATATTGCAGCTATAATATCCCACATATATTGACAATAGTTGAATCCACTTACGCTAATGAGCCCTCCTTTTTGAGGATCTGATAGGCACAATCTAGTGTATTTTTATATTTATGGGCTTCCAGGCCCTGAAATGAAAAATATAAGTGAAGTGAGTTGAGTGATTAGAGATCTCAGCTTTTAGCGAATTCCAGTATAAATTGTAATTAAGAAATGGCTTTTTCCCCACCCCTCAATTAGAATCCCAAAATTGTCACAGTACTATCTGCTAAAATTATATGAACAGTGGAAAAACATGGGAGGCCCAGAGAGAAAAGTGCAGGATTTCCACAAAATTCTACCTGCCACTTTGGATTAGTTTATCTGTGAAAAAAATCCCAGTCACAAATTTTGAAGCTTTTATGCCTAGTTTTCATTTTTAAAGACAAATCCAATGATGTGCCATCATTAATACACCTTTCCTTTACAAATGGAAATTAAGCTTTTAAAACATCAGCAGAAACCAAGCAAATCCAAGGATTTCTTCACAAAAATGTGGCTCCCTTTAGGGTAGTTGTGATGTGTGGTACCTGACACAGCCACTAGCAGAGCACTATGCTAGATCTGAAGTCAAATGCAAACTTTGTTAAGTGAGGAGTCTTTTTTCCTCGGTGTTTGTTCAGTGCGTAGCACAATGGGGTACTGGTCCACAACTACAGTAATAATAATAATCCTCAAGAGTCACAGTAACCCAGAGAAATTGTAGCTGTAAAAGACCAGCGTATGGGGTTCTTTTTGCCTTCTTAAATGAAAGATCAGAGCTCTGCTAACTAAGTGTCCGGAGAGTGGAGAGACCGTTCATTTTAAGATTAGTTTCCATAGTGATTTTTACCTGCATCCTGGTTTTGATGACATCTAATGGAGTATTGCCAAAGACACTGGCTGCTCCTGCAGTAGCACCAAATGCAGCTGTAATAAATGGATTCACCTTTCTGTGGGGATTATCACCTGATCAAGCACATACAGGAGATAAAGCAATTAGACCATATACCTCAACTAAATTTCTAAAAGCATTAGCATTTGTACTTAATTTAGAATATATATTCTCATATTCAATTAAGTGGTCAACAGTAGGAAGTATTGATCAAACTTTTATAACATTGCCATTTAAGCAAGTTTAAAAAAATTAAATAAGATTTATCTACTTCTCATAATACAATTCAATTGCCAGCCTGACTCATTTTACCTAGATACCAATTGCGAAGGGAAGTCATCACAAAGAAACGGATAGCCTGGTTTGAACCTTGTTTGAGGACAGTTGCTGTCAGCCCCTGATATGTGCCACGTAAGCCTGTAAAAGATTACGTAATTTTCATTTTATAGATACACATTTTAAAAAAATGCGAGTGAAAATTAGACAGCCAGAATGAACCTGCCAGTCTACTGAAACACTGGATGATTCACTGGAACAAACAGTGATCTCTCTCAACACATTTATCTTATACTATTAGGCTCAAATAGAACAAAGGATGTTTATGGTTCCCCCATTAAGTTATGCAGAGATAAAAACCACAATAGTTTTTGCTACATGATTATACCTTGTTCCCGAACAATCTCCCGGACACCTTGGAAAAACCCTCTATACTTTGGATTTAAAGAGGACTGATCATGAATGAACTTCACCTGTAACAATTTAAAATAAAACTTTAAGCACAATGTTGTCTCATGACTATTATCCTCTAGTCCATCATTTAATATGAATAGGGGCTATTTTATTAGGTTTTGCAATACTGCCAACTTCACAATTCACGGGAAAAACCCTCCCCTGCCTTTTAAACAAAAAAAATTTCATAACTACATAAGTTTTCACAGTAAAGTGATAATACTCTGGTCTACTTGCCTTAAGACGGATGAAAATAGCACAAGCTAAAATGTGGTAGGCCATTTTAAAAACCACAATGAGGAAAGAGTGATAGACTTGTTTAGCTGACAGGAAGAAGTTTCCAAGAAGTAGATGTTATAGCCTATGAATATTAACATTCTGCCCACCTTTATAGTTTCCATTGGACAGACGACTAGGACAGCTTCTGCAACACCAGCTCCAAGGCCACAAAGTAAACTCCTTTTGTTGTCTAATTTCCCATTTGAATCCTTTGCAATATTGCTGAGGAACTCAAACATTCCGAACCTGCAAGGAACAGAAGAGTTTTGTTTTCTCCACCACAAATTTCCTCAATCTTACCCTGTGTGATTTGGTGAGTTTCCCTTAATATTACTGAAGTAATAACTATGACAAACAAGTCAAAAGGAGACTGTGCTCTATCATAACAGCCTTATTCCAAATGATAAAGCTCAGTAAAGCATCAGCTAAAAAATGCAAAGAGAAGACAGAAATACAGAATGAAACAATATCACATGTCTAAGTAAAAATGTCATCTTATTCTTACCAGCAGCATCCAATAAGATAATGAAGTTGACATTTTGCAGCGATCACTATCTGACCCTGGAATATTTGATCCAGTGCATACCACAAATAGCCTCGTGATGTTAAATCTATATTATCTAGTACTTTATTTAAAGCACTATGATCCCAAACTGGGTCTTTAACAAGAGAGAATACTTATAAAATGGACCATTCTCACTATTTTCCTCTTTCGAATGGTGTAACAGTCAAACTGATGTTGTGTCTTCCCCCCCCCCCCCCCCCCCCCAAGATGTTCATGTGGCCTAAAAATCTGCTTAAAGTTTCAATACAGAACATTATTTTTCAAGACCCGCATTGCAAGGCAAATAAGATACAGATGGAGCTCAAGAGAGAGAACTGTACTGAGCCACAGTTCTTTAGAAATTGGGGGGGGGGGGGGGAGGAGGGAAATGGTGGAAAAGGATATAGTTACAAATAAGATGCAAAAAAAAAAGCAGAAAGCAAAAACCAGTCTCATTTAGCACTTTAAGATCTATAGATGAAAAAATCATGCTATAAAATTGATGAAAACCCATCAGCAAAGTCCTTCCACAAATCTGACATTTTTATTATATTTATGAATAATAATTTAGAGATCATCTTACCTGACGGCAGATTTTGGAATAGAGCCATACAACAAAGAACTGAGGCCCCTGTACAGACCCTTGACACCATGCTCCTGAATGGTTAGCCTCACACAGTGACCTGCAAGACAATTTCCAACTTTTACTTTACAAATGAATCATACAGCTTTGCCTGCCAGGCTAACAGTCTACTAGAAACTTTGTTTGATATTTTAAATGCACACAAATGCGAGTTGTTATCCTCTTACCAATGCTTCTATACCGAGGGGGATTTGCTCTTTCATCCAATTGTAACTGTGTTTTTACATATTCTGTGGGAAAGGTGATACAGACTTCAATACCTCCAGCAATGCCACCTGCACAGAACAGAGAGGTTGAAATGTTATGCTGTTATTTTATAGAAACAAAAAGTAAGCAACACACACATTGTGCCATACTGCACTGTGCCAATCAACATTGCTAATGATCCTATTAACAGTTTTGGCAACAATGCAATAAAGTACAGCAACACAGCAGAAACATTTCAAAACCAAAAGACACCCAGAAAAATTACTGGCTCAGCCAGTAACTATTACAAATCAAGCAGCCAAGACAAAAGGGGAGAGGATCAAAGAATTCCATTGAGACAATGAGAAATAATTCTTAAATTACAAATGCAATACACCAACAATCCAAAAACAAAAAGCTTGGTTACTTTTAGTGAAGATTAAGTGCAGTTAGAGAGGAGAGATTCCATTAAACACCAAAAAGGCTAAAATATTAACTATGGAAATCACAAGGATGGTGGTATAATTTTAGCTTAACACCCAGCTCACTTATACACACAAGATCATTAAACAAACCAATAAACATGACATAAAAACCAACAGACACCTAATACAAATCCAGCAGCCACACTTCTTGATTTTAGTGGGAGTTGGATCAGATGATTTTCACTTTAGACTTCAGCTGGAGTTGTGGGTACTCAGCATTTGTGAAAATCCAGCCCAGTATCTATAGATACCCATTTTTGGAAATCTTGTTCCCCTCCATTGACTCTTCCTAATATCCAGTTGAAGGTTTTATTATTCTTGGGACCATACCTATAAAAACTTTAAAGGTCCCCTTTCTCTCTTCACGGACAGAATCCTTCTTAGAGTAATATATTACTCAACAACAATTAACCAAGGAATATTTCATCTCAGGCTTCTGAGAATTTCAAAATAACCTTTTAGAAGCCCTCACTGGAATGAGATCACTTTTCAGGATCTCCATACAGCCTCATCCTTCTCCCACTGAAGTTAAAGGAAGGATTCCAGTTGACTTTAATGTTAGAAGTATCAGGCGCCTAGCCCTTATATAGCACACATGCTAATCATGCTTTTCAAGAGATCAGTCCCGATTTTTAAGCTAATTTACCATTTTTACCCCCATTCCATTAATCCAGAAACCCCTCCAAATTATAATATTTCAATGCAGTTCGAGGGTGTGTATTTCCAGCTTTCAAGTGATGGATATGACTGCAAATCAGTTTTTTTTACAACTTGATTCTCCACTGCCTTGTACCTATACAATCATTTATCCCAGTGCAAAACAGTTGTAAAAAACTCCACTAAAGCAAAACAGTAGAGTTTTACATGCTCTTTGAATATGCATGAGTGATTAAACAAGGTGCAAAGCAGTGGAGAATACAGCCCTTACTTGGGTCCCTAAATGTGAGTTTTTGAAAGTCTGGCCTTCAGTCCCAGGGACTGACAACTTCTTGCAGAAGGGAGGATGAAGGAAACTCATATGGCTCCACACACCCCAAAAATCTCTCTGCACAGCACAGCCTCCTCCTTGCTACCATTCCCTACCCCTTGGGGGAAGCTCACTCTGTGTCATTAAAGGAAATGAACACAAAAAGAAGTGGGACTCAGCAGCCAGGTCAGCACCACTGTCTTTGGGATGAGGCTAGAGCAGCAAGGAGCTAGGGGAAACGGCAGTGACACCTTCCATGGCTGTCCCAGTACAGGGTAAGTTACAGCTGTCATGATCCGGCCAACACCGCCTTTCACCTCCAGCCAAACCACCCCAACCCCACTGAGACCAGTCCCCCCCACCTCCAACAGGCCCACCCTCGCCCAGCCCCACTGAGACCGTCATCCCCCCCCCCACCTCCAACAGGCCCACCCTCGCCCAGCCCCACTGAGACCATCGTCCCCCCCCCCCACCTCCAACAGGCCCACCCTCGCCCAGCCCCACTGAGACCATCGTCCCCCCCCACCTCCAACAGGCCCACCCTCGCCCAACCCCACTGAGACCATCGTCCCCCCCACCTCCAACAGGCCCACCCTCGCCCAACCCCACTGACACCGTCATCCCCCCAACCTCCAACAGGCCCACCCTCGCCCAGCCCCACTGAGACCACCCCCCCCACCTCCAACAGGCCCACCCTCGCCCAGCCCCACTGAGACCATCGTCCCCCCCCACCTCCAACAGGCCCACCCTCGCCCAGCCCCACTGAGACCATCGTCCCCCCCCACCTCCAACAGGCCCACCCTCGCCCAGCCCCACTGAGACCTTCCCCCCCCCACCTCCAACACCCACCCTCCCACCCCACTGACCTCATCCCCCCCAACCTCCAACAGGCCCACCCTCCCACCCCACTAGACCTCCCCCCACCTCCAACAGGCCCACCCTCCCCACCCCACTGGACTCATCCCCCCCCACCTCCAACACCCACCCTCACCCAGCCCCACTAGACCTTCCCCCCACCTCCAACAGGCCCACCCTGCCACCCCACTACCGTCCCCCCCCACCTCCAACAGGCCCACCCTCCCCAGCCCCACTGGACCATCTCCCCCCACCTCCAACAGGCCCACCCTCCCAGCCCCACTGAGACCATCGTCCCCCCCACCTCCAACAGCCACCCTCCCAGCCCCACTGGCCTCATCCCCCCACCTCCAACAGGCCCACCCTCACCCAGCCCCACTGAGACCGTCGTCCCCCCACCTCCAACAGGCCCACCCTCGCCCAGCCCCACTGGACCTGTCCCCCCACCTCCAACAGGCCACCCTCCCCAGCCCCACTGAGACCATTCCCCCCCACCTCCAACAGGCCCACCCTCGCCCAGCCCCACTGGACCATCGTCCCCCCCCACCTCCAACAGGCCCACCCTCCCCAGCCCCACAGACCTCATCCCCCCCACCTCCAACACCCACCCTCGCCCAGCCCCACTGAGACCATCTCCCCCCCACCTCCAACAGGCCCACCCTCCCCCCCCACTGGACCTCATCCCCCCACCTCCAACAGCCCACCCTCCCCCCCACTGAGACCTCATCCCCCCACCTCCAACAGGCCCACCCTCGCCCAGCCCCACTGGACCATCTCCCCCCACCTCCAACAGGCCCACCCTCGCCCAGCCCCACTGGACCATCGTCCCCCCCCACCTCCAACAGGCCCACCCTCGCCCAGCCCCACTGAGACCTCTCCCCCCACCTCCAACAGGCCACCCTCCCCAGCCCCCTGGCCACCCCCCACCTCCAACAGGCCCACCCTCACCCAGCCCCACTGGACCATCATCCCCCCACCTCCAACAGGCCCACCCTGCCCAGCCCCACTGAGACCATTCCCCCCACCTCCAACAGCCCACCCTCCCCAGCCCCACTGACTCATCCCCCCCACCTCCAACAGGCCCACCCTCCAGCCCCACTGGACCTCATCCCCCCCACCTCCAACAGGCCCACCCTCGCCCAGCCCCCTGACCTCATCCCCCCCACCTCCAACAGGCCCACCCTCGCCCGCCCCACTGGACCATCTCCCCCCCACCTCCAACAGGCCCACCCTCCCCAGCCCCCTGACCGTCTCCCCCCCACCTCCAACAGGCCCACCCTCACCCAGCCCCCTGAGCCGTCTCCCCCCACCTCCAACGGCCCACCCTCGCCCAGCCCCCTGACCACCCCCCACCTCCAACAGGCCCACCCTCACCCAGCCCCCTACCACCCCCCCACCTCCAACAGCCCACCCTCCCCGCCCCACTACCACCCCCCCCTCCAACAGCCCACCCTCCCCCCCCACTGGACCACCCCCCACCTCCACCCCACCCTCCCCACCCCCACCACCCCCCCCACCTCCAACAGGCCCACCCTCGCCCAGCCCCACTGAGACCAGCCCCTCTTCTCCAGCCCCACTGGTCCCCCCACACCAACAGCCCCACTGAAGCCGAGCACTCCCGCCCCCCGCAGCCCCGCTGAGACCGACTCGAGCCAACGCCCCCTCCCACCAGCACGCGCTGCCACGCCCATCCCCCGCATCACCGCCACCAGCCCCCCCCCACAGCTGGGACCCGGGAAAGCCGCGGCGGGCGACACACACGGTGACACCCCCCGGCGCCTGTAGCAGCGGAGGTGCGGTGCGGGCGGGCGCTCAGGGAGTCTGAATTCCCCGCCCTCGCGGCCCTATCCTTGCGCATCGGGCGGGGCGGGCGGGAGGCGGCTCCTCCTCCTCCTCCCTCTCCACGCGCGCCTGGCCGGGGAGGCTCCTTACCGGCCAGGATCGCCTTGCCCGGGTGGGTGAGCTTGGCTCCTGCGGTGGCTGCGGCGGCAGCCACAGCCCGAGGAACCGCTGGCTGAGCGGACATGCAGGCGGCTCTGTCTGCGCCCTCCCGCATCGCAATTCAATCGCGCCCCCGCCACTGTTCTGCCCGCCAATGCGGGACCGAGCTGGGCAGCCCCCATCGGCCGCCCTCTTTGCGTATTCATGAGACCTTATGAATATTGATGAGTGGTGCCGCGGGGCGGGCTCAGCCTGGGGGCCACTGATTGGCTGCGGGGATAGTGCGGCTCTGGGATTGGCTGGCGGTGGGTGAGGCGAGGGGGGCGGGGCGGGGAGATGCTGCAGGCTCTGTGCATTGAGATCTGTACATTGAGGTCTGCAGGCTCTGTGCATTGGGGGGGATGCTGCAACCAAGGCCCAGTGCACTGAGGGGGATGGGGTCTGGGAAGGGGGGCCTCATAGAATCATAGAATATCAGGGTTGGAAGGGACCCCAGAAGGTCATCTAGTCCAACCCCCTGCTCGAAGCAGGACCAATTCCCAGTTAAATCATCCCAGCCAGGGCTTTGTCAAGCCTGACCTTAAAAACCTCTAAGGAAGGAGATTCTACCACCTCCCTAGGTAACGCATTCCAGTGTTTCACCACCCTCCTAGTGAAAAAGTTTTTCCTAATATCCAATCTAAACCTCCCCCACTGCAACTTGAGACCATTACTCCTCGTTCTGTCATCTGCTACCATTGAGAACAGTCTAGAGCCATCCTCTTTGGAACCCCCTTTCAGGTAGTTGAAAGCAGCTATCAAATCCCCCCTCATTCTTCTCTTCTGCAGGCTAACATCAGGTGACATGGCTCACAATAATGCCTCATAGGTCAAGGGGTAATGAGCTGAATTTGCAGCAAGGGAGAGGTAGATTAAATGGAGGGAAAACCTAACCCTAAGGATAGTTAAATACCGAAACAGGCTTCTGAGGGAGTTGTGGAAGCCCCCATCCTTGGAGGTTTTAAGAGCAGGTGAGACAAACACTGGTCAGGCGTGGCCAGGAATAGTAATGTTGCCTCAGCACGAGGGGGTGGACTAGATGACCTCTTTGAGTAGAGCCCTGCGCAGATACAAAATGTATATACCTATACAAAGCGGAGATCTGCGGCGCTGCAGGGCTCTACCAGGAGCTGCAGCCGTGAAACCAGCAGCATGTTGGGCTGCTGCTCGCAGGAGCCAGCACCCAGCCTGGGCATCTCCTCGGGCATGGCCGTACCGCCCCCACAGCCCTGCCCACCCAGGCTTACGGCTCCCAGACAGGCGTCCCTTCCACGTAGCGGGGTGTGTCTCCTGTCTGGGAGCATGTGAGCCGCTTGCACACACTAATGTGATCAGGGACAGCTGCTGGTGAGCCTGGTGCCCATCCCAGTGGGCAGGGCTGGGGGCAGAATAGCCATGCTGGGGGAGCTGCCGGGGCTGGGCGCTGGCTCTTGCAACCAGCGGCCCGACATGCTGCTGCTTTCACCCCTGCGGTTCCTGGTAGAGCCCTGCAGCTCCATGGATATCTGCTTTATATCCGTGGATATCAGCATCCTCGGTTATAAATTTTGTATCCATGCAGGGCTCTACTCTTGAGGTCCCTGCCAGCCCTACATGTCTATGATTCTGTCTGATGTTATTACATATCTTCTTTTTATTTATTTTAAAAAATTATTAAAATCAGAAAAATTTGAAAGATCACATTTCCTTTTCCCTTTATGCTGTTCAGTTGCTTATTTTCATTTGTTTATTATTATATTTCATTCAAACAGGGAACCTTGACTGCTCAGTTTCTCTTTCTGGTTCTCATGGACTAACATGAGATGGTGTTTGGGTTCACGATAGCCTGGGAATGTTAAAAATTGTTCTAATTACTAAGAATAAAATTATTCTCATTGTTTTTAATTTTAAAAAATCCTCTCCATCCAAAAGTTTAATTAAAACTTGTGTTAACCATAATTTAAGTTAGGGAATAAAATTGTTTGACAATGTTTCTTTAAGGGTTCACTGAGATGTTTTAAAAATAAAGAGGCAGTTTTAGATACATAAACTAATAAACAGAATATGTGTAGGCTTGATATTTACAAATAAATATGTTTTACAAGCAAAACATTTTGAGTGTATTTCCTCTTGGACTTGAGTTCAAAGTTTTATGTTTTCCCTCCTCCAGTTGATGACACTAACACATGATAAGGATGAAGGCTGCAAGAGAAATACAGAACACTTATTTCAGGTAAAGAGGTTCACCAGTTCTTAGTGGCTTTACATAACAGATAATAAACAAAGGCCCAATCCTGCAAAGTGCTGAGTGCCCTTAACTCTCAGGAGCAGGGCAGGCCCTAGATTGTCAGAGCAAAAGTTCCAGAATCAAAAGAAAGCTAATGGGATACCACTGGATCACACTAAAATATTTTGGGGTGGACTTTACAATCTGGGGTGACTGAGACATGGATTTAGGTCTATGTGCACAGTTCAGCTCTCAGGGTGATCTGGAATATTTCCCCAGTTTTTGACTCTTTCAGCTCCAGCTTCTGTCTCCTTCCAAGTTTCACATCTCTCTTTCCTGTCCTTTCTTCTCCCTTCTTTCCATCTCTTAAATACCAGATCCTTCTCCTCTCAGTAATCTATAGCTATCTGGTATTTACAGAGCACTGATTGCCATAGAATTATCCTAATATGCCTAGACTAATCCCTTTTTCAGTTCAGCTCCATCTTTTCTTGTCTCTGGCTCCTGATCTCCTTTTGTCCCCCGAAAGGAAAAAACATATAATTGCCTGTTTAAAAACAAAATAGTGTTCATAAAATATTGTTGAAAGTCTAACGTTTTTTAAAGTATTTAATTGGTTACAATTTAGACAGTCATTTAAAGCTCTTGTAACTAGGTTTCAGTACAAGGTAGATGATAATTCATTTAGTTAGTTAGCTAGATTTAAAATAATAAAGCCGCTTATCCCAGGCTGTAGGCACCCTAACATAATTAATTGTAACAATAAATACAAGTGCATTAAGTCTCTGCGTGATAGATAGATGCTCATGTGCTGGAAGGGAAAGGACTATTATTCTCCAGCCATGTGCCTCTTCCAGAACCCCGCCCCTGTTGCCAAGGTGAAGTGTTGCCTTGTTCCCATAGGAACGGGTTTGTGTATATTCCAGGCTGTTTCTGAGACTGCTCCTGGAATATTCAGTCTCGGGTGGGGGCGGGGGGGGGGGGGGTAGAACATGCTTCACTGCTGCAGCGACTGAGGCTGAGGTCACAATCTGGAGTGACTCGACCAGTTAAGGGAAGCCAAGATCTTAGAACTTGGCCAGCTTTTGCCATAAGCAACGGTCAGGCCAGTAGCCAGACAGCAAAAGTAGGTGTGCAGTTTGAGGGGACAGATTGGTGTGGGTGGGTTTGGCGGCATGGACTGATGTATGTCTGTATTTGTTGGGGAGGGGGTGGATTTGAAGGGAGGGATTGGTGTGTTGTGTGTGTTTAGGGGAGGGATTGTTGGGGAAACACTTGGATGAAAGCACAAAATCTCGTTTTCAGCACAAGGGTGTATTATAATATGTTTCAAGAGTAACAGCCGTGTTAGTCTGTATTCGCAAAAAGAAAAGGAGGACTTGTGGCACCTTAGAGACTAACCAATTTATTTGAGCATAAGCTTTCGTGAGCTACAGCTCACTTCATCGGATGCATACTGTGGAAACTGCAGAAGACATTATATACACAGAGACCATGAAACAATACCTCCTCCCACCCCAAAGGAGAGTGAGTTTGTGTGTGTATGGGGGTGGGGGGGTGAGAAAACCTGGATTTGTGCTGGAAATGGCCCACCTTGATTATCATGCACATTGTAGGGAGAGTGGTCACTTTGGATAAGCTATTACCAGCAGGAGAGTGAGTTTGTGTGTGTGGTTTTTGGAAAAGGGGGAGGAGGGGGGAGAAAACCTGGATTTGTGCTGGAAATGGCCCAACTTGATTATCATACACATTGTAAGGAGAGTGATCACTTTAGATAAGCTATTACCAGCAGGAGAGTGGGGTGGGATGAGGTATTGTTTCATGGTCTCTGTGTATATAATGTCTTCTGCAGTTTCCACAGTATGCATCCGATGAAGTGAGCTGTAGCTCACGAAAGCTTATGCTCAAATAAATTGGTTAGTCTCTAAGGTGCCACAAGTACTCCTTTTCTTTTTATAATATGTTTATATCTTGTACCAAATTCATGTATTTTATCATGACCTCTTGGCATCACCATTTCCATAAGTAACAAAAATTACCTTAGTGGGTCTTCGTTTTTCTTTTCTTTTCTTCTGTCCTTCCTTCCACTTTTTCCTTCCCTTGTACCTCTTGGTGTATTTTCTCCTCCATCTTTTTCAGGTCTGTTTTCCCTTAGCCTAATGTTTCTGCTTAATTCTTTTTAAAATGGTCAGCTCAGCTCACCTCTACGCCTGTTCCTACATCTCTTCTTTCTCTTCAAGAGACTTTTTCTGATTTTGCCTTCGTCTCTTTTTTTTTATTTTCCCTATTTGTCCCTTGAGTAATTTCGCCCTCCTTTTCCCATGTTTTCTTTCTTTCCCTGGGTTATCTCTCACCTTCTTCCATATTCCTTTTCAGTGTCTTTCCCTACTCCTCCCTGCCCTACAAGCCCCATCTCGCCCTTTATTCAATCCCTCAGATTTTCATGAGCCAGGATTTTGCTTTATATGGTTTGGCTGCCAGTGCCTTCCCTCTCCTTCATCATCCTCCAAGCAGACCCAAAGTCTGGTCCACGTGAAGTCTTCACCTACTTCATTCAGGGGCTACTACTTACCCAGTTTCCATCCTATCCTCCCTTACCTGAAGGCAGATTGTTTTGCTATCTGTGCCCCAATGACGTGATGCAATATTATCCCATTTTCAGGTTCTCCATCCTAAGAGCTAAGCTGCTGCTTCACGTTCAGGATCTTTCAAAAAGATAATGGCCAAACTGTTGCAAGCTCCACCCAAGTTCCTCCCCCCAGAGTGGCATATTGCAAACAAGACACAGTATGCCAGTGCAGAGAGTCAGAGATCCAGGTCAGAGCGACTTGTAGCTGAGAGCCAGAGGCTGGTGGATGAAATCGAAAAAACAACTCAGAAAACCCAAAGCGATGTTAACAAGAAAATAGGTGATCGTGTGGGCTTTGTTATTTTATTGATATGATTAAGGGAGACTCACAAAAGCAGGAGATATTAAATAGTAGCAAGTTTTAATGGCTTATTTCTCCTTCTCTTAGAAAAATGGGATGCATTTCCAAATCCTTTTAAAAACACTTTGTGATGGATTTTATATTTTTATAACCAAACAGTTTCAGGCATCTGTTAGATATAGGGAGACAAATTCAGTCCTGGTATAATATTTACTAATTGTTAAGGCAAGAGCCTGGACTGAGTAAAGAAAGAAAAAAAAAACATATCTTGGCTCACACTGGGTCATACATTACATTGTCCCACCTTGGAAATGGTGTAGCTCCACCATGTTCCATGGGGAATTCAGAGAAATTGTGCCAGGAGTAAGGTGGATGCAGTTGTGATTTGCCTTTGAGAATCCTCTTTCTTACCCATGTATCTCTGCAAAGGCCAGTTACAATCTGACCCTTTGAAAGCATTATTATTTTTATTACAATAGTACCTTGAGGCACCCAGTGTGGCCAGAGCTTCATGGTACACTGTACATAGATGTAGTCAGAGGCAGACCCTACCCCAACGAGCTTACAGTCTAATGAGATAAGACAGACAAAGGAAGAAGTATCATTATCATCACCTCCATTTCACAAATAAAGAGCTTAGCCACAGAGAAATCAAGCAAGTTGCCCAAGGTCACACAGGAAGTCTGTGGCAGAGGCAGGAATTGAACCACATCTCCTGGCTCATAGTCCAGTGCCTTAGCAAAACCATTGCAGTACATCAGCATACAGAGCTGTGTGCACAGCACTTTCTGTGGCTCGAGTCCTTTTCCGCCCAGGGCTAAGGCTGGGCCGTGAGGCTCTGTAGAAAAAGTTGGGCTTTTATTTATAATTAATGTGAAATCTCTCTTCATTCCACAGAACAGAGACTTGATGAAATAAAATTCTGGAAGCAAGAATTAGATGACAAACTAGAACAGGTTTTTAATGAGACAGAGGTGCTGTTGACTTTTAAGACAAGGCTAGAGAAAGCATTGGAGAGCTGTAAAGAGCCACTATTCATTGCTCAAGAGTGTCTCTTGAACAGGTAAGAGTAGTAGCAAAACAACAACAACAATAATAATAATTAAGGGGGTAAGAAAATGAATTACTAAGCTGTTAAAAAAACTAAAAACCTGACCGTGTTATGGATAAATGATATGTCTGGGTCTGGGATGTATGACATGTAAGGCCCAATCCTGCAAAGTGCGGAGCCCCTGCAACGCCTCCTAAAGATGGAGTTTCTAAAAGGGGGTATATGGGAAATAGGTACTGAGCTCCCATTGACATCCGATGGGAGTTGGGAACCTTGCTCTTGTAGATGTCTTTAGAAATCCCAGCCAAAGTCAGCAGGATTTGCAGGCGCTCAGCACTTTGCAGATTTAGGCTCTTCATAAGAGAGACAGACACCCACAGAGAAGGAAATGCTTTGTACCCTGTGCTCCAGCAGGGGAGATCTGGGTTAGATTCCCATTCCCAGCCTCCGTCTCCCATATGGCTCCAGGCAGCAGGAGCTGGCAGTGCTATGGAGACAGTGCTTCCAGGCCTTTGTAGGGAAAATAAGGGAAATCCAAGAGTATCCCATTGGGCTGAGTGGAGAGCAGCCTGATAGGTTTCAAGCTGATAGGTTTCAAGTGCACTGCAGTCTTCCTCCTCTGGAAGGATGGTGACAATGAAGCGGGTCATCAAGTTTCAGGCTGTAAAGTGGATGAAACTTGAGGAATTCTAGGACTTTGATAGCAGGCATGGAGGACTGCCCTCAGAGCTCAGGTCCTGATGGATTCTCAACAGTGCTGAGCACCCACAGTTCCCATCGGCTTCTGTGGGAATTAAGGCTGCTCAGCACCCCTCAAGATGAGGCCCTAAATAAACAAGTATGTAAGAAACATGATCAATATATGAAAGCAAAGTGAACAAGTCACAGAATCCCGTCCTTTTTGTGCTTCACTGCGACTAAGCGTGTGAAGAAAGGCTGAAGGCCCAGGCCCATTCATCATGTGTTCTGAGCAGAACTCTTTGCTTAATTCATCTTAAAAAAACCTTTGTAAAATAAGCCAGGAAAGAGAAAAGCAGCATTATTCCTGACCCTGCAAATGAAGGGCCTGATTCTCTTCTTGGTTGCCTTCCATGGAGTCACTCCTGATTTACGCTAATGTACACCAGAGGAGAATCAGGTCCTAGGAGTGGAAAGGTGGCTATGTCCAATCAGTTATAACAAGAACACGGGCTTTGGGTCTCCAGAGCTGCAATACTCAAATGGTCGACACAGAGTGATGGCTCTCTCCTCTTTCTCTTAGGCAAAGGCGAGTTGGGATTGACTTGGTCCATGACGAAGTGGAGCGGGAACTGATAAAGGAAGTTGAAGTGCTCCAAGGGATTATGGCTTTGCTAGAGCGCACACTGGAACAAACCAATGAGCAAATTAGGTATCAAGGGGTCAACAAAGGAACAAACCACCGGATAGATCAGATTGGGGAGTGCTTCTGGAGAGGTTGTAGGATGGCTAGTGTCAGATCCTCAGAGGTGCTAAGCAGCTGCTGAAATCAGAGGGGAGTTGCAGGAGTTAGTACTTCTCAGGGCTTAGACCACTCGGTTTTTAACAGCCATTCGGTTTTTAACAGCACTGATTTCAGTGGAGAGTTCTGTTTAGACACTGACGGCACAATATGCCCCAGCATCCGTTGATTCCCAGGGCCCCAGTCCTGGTCCCACACCAGTGAAGCCAGCGGGAGTTTTACCATTGACTTCAATGGCAGCAGCAGCAGCAGCATGCCCTAGATTTTACAACTTGTAACTCACAGTATTGCCTATTATGATAATAACATTCATATTTTCTTATTTACCTGATCCTGCCAACAAGCTGCATGGATGTCAGTGGGATTTTTGAGTGCCAGTGGATGGCAGAATTTGGCCCTTTAGTGGTGGTTTACCTCCATTAAAAAGAGAAGGGGATAAGTATTTTGTTAGGTTTCAAATTAAGAGAGTCTAATTGTTTTCCCCCGAGGTTAAACCGTTCAGCTAAATACAATCTGGAGATGGATCTGAAAGACAAGTTCACCGCCTTGACAATTGATAACTATTGTTCCAACTTGACAAATAATACACCTGATATAAGATATGCCAGAAATGTACTGAAGGTTGAAGGAAAGTAAGTGGTTATTTCCCTAGCTACACATCCAGTAGTTATACAGACATAATATAAACTGTCCCTGTAATACAAAGCCTAACATACCCACTCCAGTTTATAATAAGGTTATCTGTCTGTCTGTCCGTCTGTCTGTCTATCTTAGGGATTTATACCGCAGCCCATCACCATAGTATCTGAGTGCTTTTCATCTAAAATCACTACTAACAACGAAGTTCCTAATGGACCATTGTTCTGTTGAATGGATCTGGTGCTAATTGTTTATGAAAGCAAAACTTCATGGCACTGGAAACCCACAATGGATTTACTAATCTAACTTCCAGTTCCACCTCATAATGATTGCAGAATGTGGTCCAGTAGATTGGCCATTGGAGTAGGAGTCAAGAGATCTAGGGTCAATTTCTGGCTTTGTTATTAATCTGCTGTATGACCTTGGCAAGTTGCTTCGTCTGTTTCCCCACCCAACTTTTGTCTATTTAACTCTTAAGCTAAAGTCTTTTACTATGTGTTTGTACAATGCCTAGCACCATTGAGCCTGATGTTGATTCTGGCCAATAATTATAATGATGCTTAATAATGATGAACATAATAATAAGCAAAAAGAAAAGGAGGACTTGTGGCACCTTAGAGACTAACCAATTTATTTGAGCATAAGCTTTCGTGAGCTACAGCTCTGTAGCTCATGAAAGCTTATGCTCAAGTAAATTGGTTAGTCTCTAAGGTGCCACAAGTCCTCCTTTTCTTTTTGCGAATACAGACTAACACGGCTGCTACTCTGAAACCTATAATAATAAGCAATAATAATACTGCTTCTTTCATATTAATAGAGATCTGCTGTCGTTAATGCATTTATGAATACACAAAGAGGGCTGAAGATACATAAAGAGACTTTTTTTATTTTATTATAGTTCTGTGAGCCCTGAAGACTGGGTAGATTTCTCGAATGTAAATGTTGAAAAGGCTGACAAGCAGAGGAACAACTCTTTGATGCTCAGGGCCTTGATTGACCGAATCTTATCCCAGACAGCAAGTGACATGCGCAAGCAGTGCGAGACGGTGAACATTGCTTTTAAGAACAGGGTGAAGGAGACAAAAGATGCAAAGAACAAACTGGAGATCCACCTTGCTAAGGTAAACACTAGAGCAGGGGAGGGCAAACTATGCCGGATCTGGCCCGTCAGGGCTTTCAGTCCAGCCCACAGGATTGCCGGCCCTGTGGCACAGCAGGGCTAAGGCAGGCTCCCTGCCTGCCCTGGCCCGCGCCGCTCCCGGAAACGGCTGGCACCATGTCCCTGTGGCCCCTGGGGAGTGTGTGTGTGTGGGGGCAGAGGGCTACATGCACTGCCCTCGCCTGCAGGCGGGAAACCGCGGCCAATGGGAGCTTCGGGGGTGGTACCCGCAGGTGAGGGCAGCACGCAACGGAGCCGCCTGCCCCACCCCGCCCCCAGGAGCCACTGCCGGACATGCCGGCCACTTTCGGGAGCGACACAGGGCCAGGGCCAGCAGGGAGCCTGCCTTACCCTTGCTGCGCGCCGCTGCCACCCCGGAGCCGCTCGAGGTAAGCAGCGCTGGGCCGGAGCCGCACCCCTAACCTCTCCTGCACCTTGCATCCCAACCCCCTGCCCTGAGCCCCCTCCTGCACTCCGCACCCCTGCCTGCACTCCCAACCCCCTGCCCTGAGCCCCTTCCTGCATACCGCACCCCCTCCCATACCCCACACTCCCTCCTGCACCCCAACCCCCTGCCCTGAGCCCCTTCCTGCGCACCGCACCCCCTCCCACATCCTGCACTCCCTCCCACACCCCAACCCTCTGCCCCAGCCCTACATTCATGGCCCTGCATACAATTTCCCCACGCAGATGTGGCCCTTCGGTCCAAAAAGTTTGCCCACCCCTGCACTAGAGGACAGTCAGCAGAGAAAATAGGACAGGGACATCAGCCAGTTCTATTGATCCAATGTCTTGAGCTATTGTGCCTTAAGAATTCTGACTTTGCAGTTCTAAGCTGGACAAAGTCCAGTGCTTTTTCTGTTTTTATAGCTAAAGTACCATTAGCTTTTCCATTCCCAGTTATACAAATCCTCATGATTGCATGTGTTACAAGGCACATGAAAGCTTGGAGGCTCTTGATGATAACACAGTGCTACATATTAGGTAGTAGCCATTCAGAGGCAGCTATGGTCTAGTGGCCGTGTCTGGACCTGGGAATCAGATGACGCTTGCTGTGTGACCTTGGACAAGTCATTTAACCCCAAATTTTCAAAAGTGGCCTCTAATTATGGATTCTTCAGTGTTTGGGTGCCCAACCTACGACCCCTGGAGTGAAATCCTGGTCAACTGAACTCAACAAGAGTTTTGTGACTGACTTCAATGGTGTCAGGATTTCACCCCTGAGTTTTAGAGATGCTCCACAACACAGGTGTCCACAACTCAAATGGATTTCAGCTTGAGTTGTGAATGCTTAGTACCTCTGAAAATCGGGCCCTAAGTATCTCAAATTGGACACCCAAAAATTGAGTGTTAGAGACCACTTTTGAAAATCTTGGCCCTAATCCTTTGCTGCCCATTGTGCTGCAGTTATCCCATCAGTAAAATGGGGGTAATAATCCTTGCTCACCTCTGTACTTTGAGATCCACCTATGAAGTAACGCCTTAGAATTGCAAAGTATCATTATTAAAGAGGATGTCAAGTTTTCAAGTGGCACCGTGCAGCACTTCCCTTTGTTGATTTACTAAGGTGATGGATGAGATTACATCCCAGGAAAAAAACATTGCGGCCTTAAAGAAAGCTATAATCGATAAAGAAGGACCTGCCAAGGTTGCTCACACACGTTTGGAGACAAGGACCCATCGTCCCAACGTGGAGCTGTGTCGTGATATGGTCCAATACAGGCTGATCAGTGAGGTTCAGGAGATCACAAACAATATTCAGAGGTAAGTGAAATGGTGAAACAGCAAGAAGTCAGTGGTGTTGGTCACTGGGCAAATGTAACCAGCCAAAGAAGTAATAAATACAGACACACGCACAGACATACCTGTTTGCACACAGTTACCACACATGTTTTCAATATTCTGTATACCTATTTTTCTAGATATGGTGGTAGAGTAACAGAACCCTGTTAAAGGGTATGTCTACACAGCAAAAGCTATGCATTGCTTAGTCTACGTGAATTAATTTGAATCCAGCCACTGTTCCTCAGACGTTCTTGTCAACTGCTGGAAATGGCCCATCTTGATTATCACTACAAAAGGTTTTCTTCCCCCTTCCTCCCCCCGCCCCCCGCTCTCCTGCTGGTAATAGCTCATCTTAAGTGATCACTCTCCTTACAGTGTGTATGGTAACACCCATTGTTTCATGTTCTCTGTGTATATAACTCTCCCCACTGTATTTTCCACTGAATGCATCCGATGAAGTGAGCTGTAGCTCACGAAAGCTTTTGCTCAAATAAATTTGTTAGTCTCTAAGGTGCCACAAGTACTCCTTTTCTTCTAACAGCTGTGAAGACAGCGCAGCATGGGTAGTACAAGCCCAGCCCAGGCCCTGGCTACATATTTGTCTCACTAGCCTGCTCTGAAGCTTGTGCTGTGCTCTTTTCATTGCAGTCATTACCTGTGTTATTTGGATTCAAACTAGCTTGGGTAGGCTAGCCTGCGCACAGCTTAGCTGTGTAGACGTACCCTTAGTGCCACGTTGTTTTCCCTGAGAGAGTTATGGATATTACTGTGGTTTTTCCACTCGTTAGATCTTTAAATTATTAAAAAGAAGATGTGATGGGAATGCCTGGAGCATCCCAGCCCCAGCTTTGCCATTATTGTCAAGAAAAAATTGTACTTTGTACATTGTTTTGTTGTCCTTTAATTATACCATTTCCCATCTGCTTCCGCTTGAGGAGAGCGAATGTTGAGGACTGTTCGATGTTGTGGCTTAACAACCTCCTTCAAATCATTTTAATTGGGAGAGTCAGTTCTGCAAAATCGTCAGTACCCAGTGTGTTCCCAATCAAATGGTGCTGTTTACAAAGGGAGGGAGGTTGCGCCTCTTGGATCATATGTGGAAGAGACCCTTAGCCAATGGACTTATCCCCTCCCACTTGGCATTGTCTCCCAGTCTCTGTGGAGTGCTCTTTGCTGATCTGATGATATATCTGGTGGAAGGGCTGGCAGGCCAGGGGCAGGGTTGTTATGGGGGTTTGGGGATTAGTGGCATCCCCCTGTACCCAGCAGAGTTTATAAGGAAAAGGTAATGGAGCCAGGAGACATATTATCTTGCCATTTGATACCCCTTTTTAAGAGGGAGAGGGGAAGGGCTCTTGGACAACCATGGCCAGGAGAAGTCCCTGATAGCATGGCTCCGAAAGAGCTGCATTGCTGGAGAGCAAAGCGGGACAGAGAGGCCCAAACACCTGGAGGCACAGAAGCTCCTTGTAGGAGGCCACGGGACCCGCAAGGTGTGGGGGCATCTGTCCTGCATGGATGGGCCACCCCCGCAGTGGAACAATGTGGGGAGAAACCATAAGGGGATCTTCACAGAGATTTCCTCCCACCCATCCCGTTGGGAGGAAGTGATGCCGCTCAATAGCAAGAAGGTACATGTAGTCAAAACTAACGTCGCTCTTTGTTTCACCCCTAGACTAAAGGACACATTGGCACAAGCTGAGGTGGAGCTGAAAGGTCTGAGCCGTCGACAGCTTTCACTGGAGGAGGAGATCCAGGTCAAGGAGAACACACTGTACATCGACGAAGTGCTGTGCATGCAGATGAGGGAGTCCATTTCCATTAACAACTTCTGAAGCCCTGGTGTCGGATACAGCATTCTCCCACACTGGGCCAGATTCTACTGGGAAATACACCAGGGCAAAGACAGAGTAACCCCACTGAACATTAACCTAGCGCCTCTGTGTTTACACAAGTGTGACTCAGAGCAGAACCTGGCCTAGGTGTGTGAATTAATTAAAACAGACCTAAATGCCTCCTCCACAGCTGCCTGTGTCCCAGAAAGTCTATTGGAAGCTTTCCAGTAGACATTAAAGTTATGGAACAACAAGAAAAAATCCTTCATTCCAGCCACTTAGCATATCTTGGGTGCTGTCAGTGTCACTGTTTTTCATTAACAGATTTTTTTAACTACATAAGCTAGAACAGATATTCCTACACAAAGTCACTGGTTATGTTAGACAGACAGGAAGCCAGCAATCGTGCTAGTTAGGGCCCTAGGAATCTTGTGTACACCTGTCCACTGACAACTGGATGGAGAATGTACTTCAACCAAACGTAAGATAACTGCTGGCAGAAGCAGTGTTGGCTAATGGATAGGGCACTAGACTAGGACTCAGGAGACCTCCCTTCTATTTCTGGTTCTGTCAATGGCCTGATGGGTGACCTTGGGTTAGTCACATCCCCACTCTGGGCCTCAGTTTCATCACCTCTAAAATGGGAATAACGATCTCCTTTGTAAAGCACACTGAGCTCTACTGATTAAAAGCATTATATAAAAGCTAGGTATTATTGTAAATGTGACTGTCCTGGCAGAATAATATTCTCTTCTTCCTTCGGTGCCATTGCAAAGACAAGACAAAATAACAAAGATGAGACACTGCGGGCCATCTGCGAAAGCCAGAATTTTAATACGTGGGCCTCTAAAATTGCTCACTGCTTGTTACAGTTCTAGTGGGCTTTCTCTTTCATTGGCTTTCCCTTTCAGGGACATTGTTAATACCATTAGTCTCCCCACAGACTTCCTCAGAGGACCAGATCAGACATTTCCTAATGTGACTGGTTTTTATTTTAACTCCTGGCTCATCACACACTGCTCACACCATTGGGTAGGCGATGACAAAATAATTAAGCTCTGAGTCGATCAGGTTTCTGAACTTCTTGTAAATGTCTCGCAGCAGTCGGTCCTCTTCACTGGTCTCATGCCTGGTTGTGTAAATCCTCACCTGCATGGATGGATCATAGACACACAAAGCTGCCACTGCAGTTAAGCTCGTAATAGGGAGAAGCCCAGGTGGCTGTTGAGACTGCTAGATAAGCCAGCCAGCTAGTAAATGTGGTCAGATCCTGAAGTCCTTACTCAGTTTTTGCTCAGACAAGATTCCTAGGGCCATCAGTGAGAACTTGCCTTATTACAGACTGAATGAAATCCTAGACTTCCCCGCCTTTGGGGATTTCAACAGCAGAATAGCTGGGAAAACGAGTGCCTCATTCTCTGATCCCCAGGATCAGCTCTTGGGGTCTCTGCTGGAGGCTCAGGGCTCTGGGGTTCTGCTGTCTCCCTGGCAGGATGGTTTCCCCTGGCTGCAGCTGTCCCTGCCCATGATTCAGGAGAGCATCCCTATTCAGGACAGAATATAAGCACATGTTTAAGTCTCACTGAAGTCAATAGGACTTAACCACGTGTTTAAATGTTTTCTTGAATAAGGACCTTCTTTATAGGGGCTCCCGAGCATGGGATTCTGGAATAGGTGTCATCGGGGTTGTCACCTTATCGTACCGTTTCTGAGCATTCTCTGTGGGGCTGGTCAGGACATGGGAGACCCATCTCTGCAAGTGGACCTTGGGAATACACGCAGGATTCTTACACTTCCTCACAACCCCTTTCCCTGCATATTAATGGTAACTTTCAAACCACATTCAGAGGCACTGCTGCATTAGTATGTTCGTAAACTACATTTCGACGGGGTGGATGGTGAGAGGTTTGGAAAGAGATTTTTACCTTCATGGTACACAAGACACATTTCCCCTCTGCCCGATTTTGCAGCAGCCTCTCCACAAATGCCACACTGAGGAAGGCCCAGACTTTGAGGAAGAACAGCCTCTCGCACGATAACACGAGCTGCAGCAGCTCCTCATCCAGCAATTCATGGTCATTGTTGAACTCTAGCGTTAATTTCTTGAAAATAAATAACAGTGTCAATGTCTATACCAATGGGCAGGGCAGTTATGTATGGGACTCATCTCTTGTGAAAACTGCCTTGTGGAGCTCTAATGACCTCATGGGTCAGGGTTTCACTTTTACACCAACAGTTTGGTACAATGCCCACACGGCCACCTGGTTAGATTAGTGACAAAACGGTAAAACGTTGCTGTTCCCACCATACCTGCAGAATGTGTTTGTAGGCTGGTAAGAGATAGGTGAGGGTCGGCCTCATCGACCAGTCTGGGTCACTGAAATAGCAGCTCCGTAGACTGATGCTCCTGAGTGGGATCTCCACTAAGAGTATCCTGGCTAGACTGTTGTGCTTCATGACTCTTTCAAAGAAGAAGTTCACTTTCAGTTTGGGTGCTCTCTTGGCTAGGTTGGCCCAGGACATCCCCCAAACCACCTGCCCGTGAGGGTCATGGATGTGGCACTTGATGTTTATAGTCCAGAGAGAATGGGCGTTGTGCTCGCACAGGATTTCCAGCAATTCATCGGAGATGCAGTTGTAATTGAGAGTCAGGATGACCAGGTTGCGGAACGTGGACATAGTCTGGTGGAACAAGGGGCTGCTGTAGATGGAAAGATGGTGGCTGAAGAAGTCTTCTATGTTGATTTCAGAGGCAAAACTTTTGTTTTTCAAGTAGCTCAAAGAGCTCAAAAGCTCACAGCCTTCTTCCAGCGTCACTCTTGCTCCTTTCAGGTTGAGATAATCAAGGTGCTTGCTCATTCTTTTCAGGAAAGTACTTACGTTCTTGATAAACTGAGTCCTGATCCCATTTTTCCAGACCAATCGGTCCAACTCCAGGTGCTGAATAGTCAGGGATACCAGACGGCTGTTACATTTGCCCAAGCGCGAGAGAAGCCCCCTCATAGTCACTTGAAATTTTCGGGTCAAAACAGCATTGTAAGGATTCAGGAACTTGATCTCTAGGTGTTCCAAGTACTTGCCGAATCTCTTGACGTACCACAGAGCAGATTCAAACTCGGATGTGTTTGACCTGGATGGCCGCCCACTGAAGGTGATTGTTCTGGTTCTCCAGAGAGAGCCTGAGTACATGGCTTGATTCCATTTTTTACAGACTAAAGCAGCCCGAGATCTGTCCCTGTCATCTAGCCACCAGAACATGTTGCTCAGGCAGACGTCAGGCAAATAGGCCCAGCAACTCTGCTCTGGTTCACTGTCATCCTCCATGAAGGAGACAGTCAGTTCCTGTTGGGTGCAGAATCAAACCTAGATGGTTTCTGGATCAGGAAGGCTGTGGGTAGTTTGTTTGCTCGAACAAGAACGTTCCAAGTGAATAGCAAAAATCCTGCCTCTTTACATCCGAACGCCGGTGACCACATGAGCTCTTGGGTCTAAACTGTGATCTAACCAAAAGAGAAGCAAAAGAGAAAATAAGCATAATACTGTTATGCTGAAAGATGCTAATGGCTGCCTTCAAGTGGGTCTGTGATCCAAAAACAATGGCAGACCAGATTAAAGCAATGTGTGTGCTAAGCACCCTTCTTTCAAGCTCAATGGAAGGAACAATTAACCCCCTTTATGTAGTGATAGCTGGAGAAAATAAAAGACATGAGGACTAAGCAGAGCTAAAATCATGTGGGTTGAAAGGCTTAGTTGATTGCCAATGCAAGGGGCTAGGGTATTGTTTTGCAAGGTGTGGATACACAAGTATGTACATGAATTAAAGGAAACCAACCGAAAGCCAAAGAAGCCATTGTGAGTGCAACCCTGAGGTTGAGTGTTCATTAGGAAAAAAGGTGTGTTAGCTTGAGTTATCTAAAGTAAGTTCCAGGGGAAGACAAGGCAGTTTGAAGTTTTCACACAAGTTAGCAGGTCAGGTTAAAAACTACCTGCTCACTTGTGTGACAACTACAACTGCCTCGTCTTCACTAGGATTTACTTCAAGTTAGCTAATTCATCTTAGGAATATACCTCGTTTTCTCCAGCGTAGACGAGGCCTGAGAAGAAACAGAGAGACAGAGCTTCTGGGCAAAGAACTTGCTGGAGTGGCAGTCCTGGAAATTTCTGAGCAAGGAAATTGCCTGCCGTTTTTGTTTAGGGAAACAGTACTTTATGTACATTCTCTGTAAGTTAACAGGATTGCAACAAAGAAATACCTGATTCATATAATCAATTTCTCTTCTCAGCAGAAACAACCCTACAAAGCTCCAAGCGTTGGTTCACTGCTGTGGCCAAAGGGGCAATTGTAAAATTATGTAACACCAAAAGGTACTGTTTCAGTTCCTTGACCTCCAATAATGCTTAAACCTTCGATGGTAAAATGATATAGAAGTTCCAGATCAATTTGTTAAATTTTCTATCTATGCAGACTCCAGAAGCTCCTGGAAAACACCAGTGTAATTGAAGATGGCTTTTCTGCATGATCAGTTATTTCTTGAGCAGCCTCAACTCAGTGTTCTTGGTACTGTACACAGAGTTGATTTCCTTTGTACTGCACAGATTAACTGCACTGCCTGAGATGAACCAGCTAAACCTGCTGATTTCAGCTGCTCTTCTGGGTTAACATCACAGCCTATTTTGGGAGGTACTGTAAAGACCTGCTGAAGCTTTCCAAAAAACTTTGAAAATTGGTCTATGGAAACATCACATCCAGGGAGTTAGGGGAATAAACATTAAGCTGTTCAGCCAATGGAGTGATCCAATTATTCAGTCCATTTTAGGAGTCCAGTGTGGTCCAATGGATAGGGCACAGGTAGGGAGTCAGGAAACCTGATGGAGGGTTATAAAATTAGATGAACAAGGCATGTCATGCAAGAAGAGTTAGTTACCGGTTCTGATTTCCATGCTGGACTGGTGGGAAGGCATTCATACCCCAGCACCCTTCCCTCTCTGAGCTTGTCCTGGCAGGGCTCAGTGAGCACTGAGACATGTCATGTGCCTGCACTCAGCCATTATGAGAGAACAGCACATAGCTTCTGTGATGTCACAGGCCCAGCCTGGCTTTATCCCAGTACAAATGGGGAGGAAGTCAGTTGAACAGTGTCCTTGATGTGAAGGCAGGAAGGAGAGAAAGATGCATTGCTTGGGAGCTCAGTGCAAACAGCATACAAGGAATCTTGGGGGCTGCTGCAGTACATCCTCCCCTTCCCTCTATGAAACCAGGTGATGCGTCTGGAAGCTGAGCCGCAAACTGCAAGGGAAGAAAGTGGTGCTTGCTCCAGCTTTTAACCTAGGGGACCCAAACCTCATACATGCAATGCAAGTTGGTTTCCACTTATGACAAGATAATGCTTCCATCCTTTTATAGACCACTCAATGCAAAACAAGTGCATGGAATAATCTGCAAATATTTGCTCAGTTTTCTGACACTGGGTTTTGATCTGCTTGAGGAAGATGTTAGGCTATACTTTCTCACTTATTTAACGTGTTACGGATCAGATGCATCTGAAGCTGGTGGATTGTCACTATTTTTGCAGTCACCGGAGAGTGAATTTATCTTTAAACAAAATAGCTCCACCATACTCAAGCTTTAAGTTAAGTAGCTAAAATCACTTTTGTCCCTACGGCAGTGAAATTGGAAAGAAAGCTGTACTCTCTCAAGCTCCACCCACAAAATGAGCCCCACCCATTTGTGACACCAGTATAAGATGCTACTCACAGTATACTGTTCAGATTTTCCTAATATGATCATCCCTACATGCTTTGATTAGCTGTGAAGTAAACAAGGCTGCCATTTGAACGGTCAATCTTAACTTCAGGTTTAACCCCCAATTGAGAAGAATGAGAGCAGCTCCCAGCTCCCTGCACTACGGCTGCAGGCTGTCCACATACTCAGGCAGACTTGTCACTGTTTGTGAGTACAACTTTTGAAAATTCTCTTTGTAACAACAAGGGATATATATTTATATTTACACAAATGCTTAGTTTTTGGAGCACAAGCTGGCTGCTCCGTTCAACCCCAGCCCATTTAGTTTAATTGTTGTACCACAGTGTTTTGTTTTACATGTGACATACATGCCAGAGAAGTTAAAGCATGAGTGCACCAGGGTTCTACGACGTTGCTTTTAACTCTGATGGGCCTGAGCCAAAGCCTGTGCTCAGAGAAGAGCATCCCAGAGTTTGTGTGTGGGGGGGTGGTGGTGTTGAAATACAGATCTGATTTACAGCCCAAGTTCCATCTCTTGTTTTTTGATGACGGTCCTTATGTTACTACACCCAAGTGGCCGCTATTAAACAGAGTGGGCCGTTAGCAAGAGAATCCAATTCTGCCCTTAGACTTCAGTAGGAATTGCACACATGTGTCTGAAGATCAAATTTAGCCCATACAGAAGATGTAGCAGTTGGTGGCAGGGCCAATCTAGTTATCATACTTATCAGCTCTCCATTACTGTAGTTATCTGAGCACTTCACAGTCGTTGATGTCGTTATTCTCACAATACCCCTGCGAGTTAGGGTAGTTGTAACAAGGTGGCCTGCTCCTCTAAAGGCCAGAGGGCGCCAGCCCTGTTCCATTATCACACCCAGCTGGGAAGGGATCAGGTGATCCATAAGGGCTGAAAGGGGCTCACTGAGAAGAAAACTACAGAAAGCAAACAGGCTTCTGGGGTAGGCCTCAGAACAGAAGGTGAGGCCTTTGTTGTCTGCTTTGGCCAAGGGACTAGCTTTGTTGGGTGAGTTTTGTGTTTGAATAATGAAGTGAGGAAGAGGGCCTATTCCAGACTCTGGGAAGGGTGTCAGGCCAATGGGCTACAGAAATGCTGCTGTTATGCCCCTTTTACAGATGGTAAATTGAGGCCTAGAGAGACTAGGTGACTTGCCTGAGCTCTCACAAGACATCTGTGGTAGAGCAGGGATTTGAACCTAGCTCTCCCACTTCCTAGACTAGGAGCCTAGCTACCAAACTAGCCTTTAATGATTCTGCCTTTATCTAATCCAGGCCCCCTGCAGCTATATCTCTATCTGCTTCCCAGGGCTAAGCAAGCAGGCTTTTTTGAAGTCTCATCTCTTTGGTGGATTCAGTCCATATTGAACTGTTATGAGTCAAATTCATCCCTGCTATGAGCAGAGCCAACACCCCATGAAGGCAGTGGAGTTAAACCTCAATTCGTTCCCATCAGCCCTTGTTTGCAGGGGGCTAAATGCTTCTCTGTTAAAACCTGTACAATTCCATTGACATAAGGGGGGTTGTTGGGGGTGTGTGTGCGCAGAATGACAGCAGACTTAGTTCTGGACTCTTGGGGAATTAATAAGAGGCCTGTGGGAGTGGAAAACTTTGTTCCAGTGGCATTTAAAACATTATTGTTCATTCACTTTACCCCCTTCTCCTTGCGCCCCCGTGCGGCCCCCCCCCCCAATAATCAATCTGCTATGTTAAACTACATTTATTATTTCTGGTGATGTGGAGTTTAACATGATTACCGCGATCAGCCCAGGAATGTGACTTCCCCCGCCCCAAAGTCTGAAACATGAGCTGTAGTTACTATGCTGTATTGTAGCACCCCAGCTCTCCCTTTCAAAGGAGGGAGGGGATTCTCATGACTAGTGCTGGTTAGAGCAGTATTTCTGTGGGGAAAAAAATTAAAGCTGTTTTTAGTTCAAAGTGTTTGAAACAGGCCCAATTATAATTCATTTACTGCAAATAAAAGTCTGGGACCCAAAGACTCCAGATCTAGGCCTCAGTGTGCTGTGCAGACAAAAAATGAAGAGATTAATCTAGCAGATCTTTCTATTATAATAAAAGTTTATTAGAGTAGCACTGAGGAACAAACCCCAGTCAAGGATCAGGGCCCCATCGTGGTAGGGCTCTGCACAGACGCTAAACACACTTTGCTTCAGAGACATTACAATCTTATGGCTTTTTGCACATTACAATGACTTTTATGTCTTGGGATACTAAATTTATTATCCTATGCACATCTGTAAAACACTGAATGTAAAATTAATGTAAGAAACTGCTACAGAGTGTGAGTTAGCCCTTATACCCCAGCTACACACCCGTTCTCCCAAAAAAGCAATTGTGTAGCTATCCATATTCCATAACGTAGAGATGTTCAGCAGATATTTAGGATGGGCTTGTCAAAACCGGTGGACATCTTTAAAAGTCAGCTATTGACTTCAGTTGAAGCAGTGAGTGAGGCTAGTGCTGGCAGCATTGGAAAATCCTATCCTGCTTAGAGCTATCTTGAAGGTCTCATTTCGATAGTCAAATTTCATTCATTGACGCTCTCATCAGCAAAACGTCCAGGTATCAGAGACGCAAAGCAAAGGGTATCCAGTTACGTACTAGTGGCTTGGCAGCATGGCTTCTTCAGATAATGTAAATCAACATTCATTTTCAAATGG